ACGAGAATTACTTAGGTTGTGAGCTCTAGCAGAGCTCAGCGCTGACTTGCTTACTTTACCACTCACACCTGACAAGGCACAGCCTCCCCGCCCAGGCCATTGCTGGGCAGCCCTAGCTCTTACAAAGGAAGGGCTGCTGGGTTGTTTTTGGGTTTTTGTTTTGTCAGTACTAGGGATCGAACCCAGGGTCTGTGTGTGCTGGGCAAGGAGACCACCACCTTTTTTGTTATTTCGAGTGAAGGTCTTGGTAAGTTGCCCAGGCTGGCCTCAAACTTGTGATCCTCCTGCCTCAGCCTCCTGAGTAAGTGAGATTACAGGTGTGTGTCACTGTGCCTGGCACATAGTTTTTCCTTGAATTGAGCCCAAATGCCCTTCCCCTGAAGCCCGCTCTCGAGCCCTTGCCCTGCCCTCTGTAGGCCGCCACTGTCTTCTCTCACCACCCACTGGCAAGTGTGACCTATGGCCACGGGGCATGTGTTTTGCATTTCTGCTGCCCAGTGTTGCATGGGGCTCCTTGGGGACTCGATAACCAGCTGCCCAGGCTGAGGACCTGGGTCAGAGGACACGAGAAGGAATAGCAGGAGTCCGAGTCTTCTTTCTTCTTTGTCTTTTTTGAGACATGGTCTTACTATGTAGTTCAGGCTGGCCTAGAACTCACTTTGAAACCCAGGCTGGACTTGAACTCGCAGTGATCCTCCTACCTCAGCCTCTGAGTGATGGGATTACAGGCGTGTGCCACCACCATGCCCAGCAAGAGTCCAAGTCTTTCCGAGGGTTTTAATCTACAGAATGGTGCACAGTGAGAGCTGGCCTGAGGCTGGACATGGGGATGGGCTCCCAGGCCTGCCACCTGCCGGCCATGAGGACGTGGCCACCAGGAGGGGCTCGTTGGTGTGCTGTCTGGCCCAGCACCATCTTCCCTGCCCCAGGGCCCTTGCGGTGCTCAGGCTTAGTGGTTTGGACTGTGATGGGGTGGCTTATCAGGAAGGAGCAACTGTCTCTCACACACACCATCACCTGCTCCTGGGAGGGCCCCTCGCTGCGAGTGTGTGTGCACCTGTTCTGGGAGCTGTGTGAAGGCCCCTGGGCCCCCTGGTCACAGCAGGGCTGCGATGAGGTGGGGGACACAGGGGAGCCGCGGGAGGCTGGCAAGAACAGGGAGCGCTGAGGCGTCACTGAGCCAGTGGGAGAGGGAGGCTGGCGCTCCGCAGGTCTGGGCAGCGGCTCACTGACCCGTGCGTCTGTCGCAGGGAGGCAGGAGGTGCTGATGCCAGTTGCCATCTGTCCCAGCTCACGGCTCCTGCTCCGCTCTGTCTCTGTTACTCATCCTGCCTGGGACTGCTGGGTCACAGGCAGGGCTCTGCCGTCATGTGTGAAGGGCATGGAGGACAGGCGTGGGCACAGGAGGACGCAGCACCATCTAGCACCCGCCTGGGGATCGTCCTTGGGCATTGTGTGCTGGCTTACGGCCTGTGCACACTGAGGACTGAGAGTGGTAGTTTGACCTTCTCCTGTCCATGCTGATGGCTTAGTTCTTTCAAACTGGGCATTGGGTGGCATATGCCTATAACCTCGGCACCCTGGGAGGCTGAGGCAGGAGGATGGCAAGTTCGAGTCCAGCCTGGGTAACTTAGTGATTTAGCAAGATCTTGTCTCAAAAAGAAAAGTAAATGCCAGGCATGAAGTTCAGTGCAAAGGCCTTGAGTTCAACCCCTAGTACTTCAGGAATGGCGGGTGTGGCAGGGGAAGGGGAGTGGATTAGCATCAGAGTTGGGAGTGCTGTTCCGTTGGCATTGGGTAGAGAAGGGTCAGAATGGTCCAAGTTCAGACAGCATCAGATGTCCCACCTCAGCTCGCCCTGACAGTGGGACTGCACTCCGAGCACAGCCCTGACACCCTGTCCGGATTTCTCATTCTTTCAAGGCGTAGAACTGCTGGACCCAAGTAGCTCAGCTTAGTGCCCCAGCCCCACATCTTGCTTTGGGACCCGGCACCTTAGTCTCCTCAGGTCTGTGTGAGAATAACAGTAACGCCGACCTTGTGGGGTTGCAGGACTTCCATGGATTAAGGGATGAGAACGTGCAGCTACCTCAGTTAGCTATTGCTGTACAACTAATCGGTCCCCAAATAGGGCTTTAAGGTAACAGCCTCACTTATTTTGGGCAGGGCTTGGTGGGGTGACTCTTTCCTGCACTTTGTAGCATTGATTTGGATGTGTGACAAGGGCCAGAGGATCTTTTTTTTTTTCTTTTTTTTTTTTTTTTTGAGACAGGGTCTACTGGTAGCTCAGGTTGCCTTGAACACACTGAATTGCCCAGGCTGGCCTCGAGCTAACAATCCTCCTGCTTCAGCCTCCCAAGTGCTGGGTTACAGGTGTGCGCCACAGTGCCTGGTGAGATGCTTTTGTCCCCATGGCCGAGACGTCGGTGCCGGCTGCAGCTGAGCATGCACTGGGCTCTTGCTCACCCTCCCTGGACCTCACACTGACCGCTTACGCTGCTCCCACACGGTAGCCAGATGAGGCGAGAACCAGGCCAGAATGAGAAGACAAGCCACAAACTGGGAAAGGGAGCGGCATCCTGAACACCGATGAGAACGCTCAGATTTAGCGGTAGCTCTGTAAAGAAACAAAATATTTGGACAGATACTTCACAGAAGGCGCACAAATGTAAAATAAGCCTAGGAAAAGATGTTCACCATTGTAAGTCAGTAGTGAACTACAGACTTAAAGCGTTGAGATTGAAAGTGCAATACTGAGCCGGCCATGTTGGCACACACCTATAATCTCAGCGCTCGGAGGCAGAGGCAGGAGGATTGCAAGTTCGCGCCCAGTGTAGGCAGCTTGGCAACTTGGTGAGATGCTGTCTCAAAATGGAGAACAGTAAAAAGGGTTGGGGATGTAGCTGAGTGCAGATCCCCTGGGTTCAATCCCCAGCACCACTGTATACACACACACAGTTTCTAGAATGCTTGTAATATAATGCTTAGTTTAACATTTTTATTAATGAGCACAGGTCTGCAGTACATAATGACTACATTCTGTGTGTGGAATTGGTGTGTGCACATAACACACCTTAACTCTTTCCATCCCGCCTCTCTCCTTCTCCCCCATCTGTTGCTTCCCTTCCCTTTCCCTTATTTCCTATTATCTATCTGGTATTTTGCTCTTTGTTTATATTTTGGATTTCTCAGATAAGAGAAATCGCGTGATATTTAAGCTTGCATGTCTGGTTTATTTCACTTAACATCAGGGTGTCAAGGTGCATCCGTTTTCCTACCAATGACCCGAGTTTATCCTTTATGGCAGAGTAGTGCTCTGTTGTATATAAACGCCACATGTTCTTTCTCCATTGACCTGTTGATGGACGTACAGGCAGCTTCCAAGGATCAGCTACTGTGAATTGTGCTGCTTTTAAACACGGGTGTGCGTGTTTCATTGTAATAGTATGTCCTTAACTCTTTTGGAAAGATGCCTAGAAGGGGAATAGCTGGGTCAAGTGGAATTTCTAGTTTTAGTTTTTTGAGGACTCCCCACACTGATTTCCATAGTCACTGCATTAGTTTATACTCCCACAAATAACGTGGAAGGTTCCTTTTCCCCCGCAGCCTCACCAGCATTTGTTGTTACTTGATTTCTTGATGATGTTTAAAAAACTTGGATGAATCAGTTGTTGGCAAGGATGTATAATTGGAACTCTTATATACTGCTAGTAGAAATGTCAATTGGGACAGTCATTTTGGGAAAGAATTTGGCATTTCTCAAAAGGTTAAAATGTGTGGTTCTCCTGTTACATTTCTGGATATTTTATTTGCCCAAAAGAAATGAAAACAAATGTCCATGCAAAAAGCCTGGTGCACGAAGGTTCACAGTGACTTCATTTGTTTGTTTGTTTGTTTGTTTTTTTCATTTGAAACAGCCAAAAACTAGCAATGTGGTGTACGCATGACACCCCAGCACTCAGAAAGCTGAGGCAGTAGGATTGCTGCAAGTTCGAGGCCAGCCTGGGCTACATAGTTCAAAGCCAGCCTGACCTGCATAGCAAGACTCTGTCTGAAAAAACAAAAACAGAAACAAAACAAACAAAAAAGAGTACTGAAGACAAAACCTAGAAACTGTGTAAATGTGCATTACAAGGTAAATGGATGTGTGATGGTGCAGCTAGCTGTCCAGTGGGATGGTACTCAGCAGCAAAACAGAGTGAGCTACTGCTACATCATACAACGGATGACTTTTAACAGAATTTTGGTGAGGGAAAGAGGGCAAGTGACGGGAGAATGCATAGTATGTGAGTCTCTTCATGAGATTCTAAGATATCATGCTGGTAGCGCACAGTTGCAATTCCAGCACTCAGGAGGCTGAGGCAGGAGGATCAAGTTCAAGGCTAGCCTGAGCTATGTAGCAAGACCCTTCTGAGATAGAGTATAAACTGATCTGATTGTGACAGAAAGCAGGTCAGGTTTGCCTGGGGTCCCACAGGGGGCAGGCAGGCAGGAGGGGCGATAGACAGAGCATCTTGATTGCAGGGGGGGTTCACAGGTATGCGCATGTCCAAACATGGCACACACAGCTCAGTGGCAGAGCGCCTGCCTAGCACGCGCAGGTCCAGGGTTCCTTCCCTAGCATCACCAGCCCTACCCCCCCCAAAAAAAATCAGCTTGTACTTATACACTTTAAATATGTCTTTTGTTGTGTCAGTCCTGCCTCATACAGTTGTTTTTAGAAGTGGGTGGGGAGCTTTGCAGACAGCCTGGCCCGGTTGCCGCTGCCTGGTAGGTCCAGATCAGCACCATCATTTGTGACCCCGCAGCCCTGTGAACGCCGCGCCTTTCCTGCCCCCGGTACGTGGTGGTGCACCATGCACCCCTGCTTCCTGCCCCTGTGCAGGTCTGTGTCCGAATGCTTGATCCTCTGCCTTCCTACAGGCACGTGGTTTAGGGTGTGGGTGATGAGGGACCATATTTTCACCCTAGGTTCACTTGCTCCCGTAAGTTCACAAGTCGGGAGCCATTTCGAGCTGTGCCTGGTTACCCTGTGTGGCGTCAGGCGCCGGGCTGTTGCCGCAGTCCCAATCCAGACGCACTCCAGCAGGACCCTTCTCAGCCTGGAAGCTGGGCTCGCAGGAGTGCAGCCAGTTTATCTCCTCGTTATTGTTCCTTCTCTGCTGACTTCCTCCTCGGGCAGCCAGGGGCTGGAAGGAGCCCCGCCTTCCGAACTGGCCCAGGAAAAGTTCCAAGTTCGGCCGTGCCTGGCCGGTCGTGCATCTGCACCATATGCCCAGCTGACCCCGGTGTCCCTGTGAGTCTGCAAGCCTGTGGCCAGCTCTGAACCAAGCAGAGTGGGCAGGCCTGGGGCATTCTGCCAGGGCTGAGCAGGGCGGAGTGCTGGGAGGAGGACCTGGAAGTCAGCAGGGAACAGCGGCAGATGACCTCTACCAGGGACGGTCCAGTTCTGTAAAGTTTTGGCTAAGTAGAATCAACACACTTCCCAAGTCTGCAAAGAGTGCTCCGTTAGTGACGCTTCTGCCCTGGTCCGCTCACTCCACAGGTACAGTTGCCTGGGTTCACATTTTTCCTACTTGTGTTTCTGTTTGTAAAGATAAGTAGACTCGTACAGAAGGGCTGATCAAAGCATATGGTGTTTACATAAAAGAATTCGTTACAGAAAAAGACACATCACCATTAATCCCTTCAAAGTATCCTTACACACATGCGCGCGCACAGACATATCCCACTGTTCTAGACACTTTCTAGGGGTTTTTTGTTGTTTGTCTTTTGAGACAGGGTCTCGCTGCGTAACTCAGACTAACCTCAAACTCATGGCAGTTCTCCTGCCTCAGCCTTCCAAGTGCTGGGATTACAGGTGTGAGCCACGACACCTGGCTCTGGCCGCTTTCTGAAGCAGCTCTGGGAGTCTTCTCTCCTGAGTGTCTCTACAAGGGTTGATAAAAAAAATACAGTGAATGCTGCTGCTGAGTGCCACCCAGCAGAGAGACAGGCGGTCACACATTACCATGTGTCCTCATCCACCTTATCCACGGGATCTGGCACCTTGCAACTTCTGGCAACTTGGAACAGTAAGGCAGCCAAGACAGCACAACTAAAGACATTCATGAGAGAGGACTTCCAGACCTGCTTCAGAAAGCTGCAGGGGTCATGGGATCAGTGTGCTGAAGTTCAGGCTGGCCTTGAGCTCACTTTGTAGCCCAGGCTGGCCTTGAACTCCCAACGATCCTCCTGCCTCAGCCTCCCGAGTGCTGGGATTACAAGTGTGTGCCACCACGTTTTCTTATCTCCTTCCCTTTTGACAGAAAAGATGTTCTTCTACCCTTGATTTTCTCATGGAAGAGCAAGAAAGCGTTTCTTACCAGCCTTGCTAATTCCCGCTGTTGTCATACACAGGACGGGGCACTGACTTGTGCTCCCAGGGTGGACATGAGAGGACGGAGTGACCCCCAGCCCCTTCAGCCCGTGGAGCTCTGTTGTCTAAGCCCAGGTCGTAAGTGAATCTCTCTCTTGCCCTGCAGATGGGGGCAGCCACGCCATCCAGGATTCCCGGGCCTCCAGTCTGGTCTCTGACAGTGAGAGTTCCCCCACCGGCCCCGCCAGGCATGACTGGGAGATGAATTACCAAGAGGCAGCCATCTACCTCCAGGTGGGTGTCTCGGGTGGCAGTTGGGGGCTGCAGGTGGAGTCGTACCTGGGGTGGGGACATGTGCACCCCTCCTTCCCTGATGCCCATGGGTGCCATGCCTGTCCCGGGTGCCCTGAAGCTGCCCTCCTGGGCTTCTCTGTCCCAGGGCCACACCGGGAGGTGAGTTCTGAGGAGGGAGTTGTTCTCTGTGTCCTTAAACTGTGTGGAATGTGTCAGCATCACAGTGCGGGAACATAGGGCTCCTTATGCTGACTTGTTTTATTCACTGTGTTCATTTCTGCTGTTTCATACTTGTTTCTGGAAAAAAAAAACAAAAAAAAAACTGGTTTCTGTTTTTTTTTTTCATTTTGGAAAACAGTACCTTTCTGTGATAGCAATATATGCTCATTCTATTGAAATGAAGAAAACATTCACCCAAAGCAGTCTCTGTTAACATTATTTCTTTCTATATTAAAAAAAAAAAAAAGAACCAAGCTGGGCATGATGACAAACCCTATAATCCCAGCATTCTGGGAGGCTGAGGCAGGAGGATTGCTTGAGCCCAGGAGTTTGAAGCCAACCTGGGCAACACAGCAAGATTCTGCCTCCAAAAAAGAAAAAGTACAGTCGTCTATAATCTGCTATTTTGTTGTTCGCGGTGCTGGGTCTGAACCCAAGGCCTTGTATGCTGGGCAAGTGCTGTAGCACTGAGCTCTACCCCCGGCTCTACTCTACTCTACTCTCCTTTCTTTTTCTTTCTTGTTGTTTTTATGGCACATAGCATATGCTGTGTAACTCTTGTGTAAATATCACGTGTCTTTAAATTACATCAGGTAAATTCCCCCAATGTGCTTCGCTATTTCGATAATCTTGTGTATGGTCTTTCATTGTGTGCTTCTGTTATATGTTTACCTTACCATAAATCACAGTCCAAGGACAGCCTACATTTAGAATTCTCTGTCTCCCTCATGCACACATCTATGGTTTTCTCGCCAGAAAAAAAGACTAAGAAACGAAATTCAGGATGGGAGGAGTCTACTTTCTGGGGGCTCTTGAGATCCAGTGTGGGGTCCCCCGCCCCAGGGAGCTCTCGCCTCTTTCCTGCTACTCACTGGCTGTGGCAGCTGCATCTCACTGGCGCTGGTCTCATCACTAGGAGACTTCAGCTTCTGACATCCGTTGTCTAAGAGTGTGGGTGAGGAAATACAATTTTCTTAAATCCATTGGAATGATGATTTTCCATAATTTTTTGGAAGTAATTCTCTGTGCACGTACTGGTTTTGTCCATTTTTAAAAAGGACGTAATAAAGCCAGGCGTGGTGGTGCATGCCTGTAATCCCAGCACTTGGGTGGCTGAGGCAGGAGGATGGCCATGAGTTCAAGGCCAGCCTGGGCTACATAGCGATACCTTGTCTCAAAAAAAATAAAAATAAAAGGATGTTTTAAATCCAGATATGTGCTTGGGCTGGCTCGGCTACAGCATGTTTCTTGTGCTTTTGTGCCTGTCACACGAGGTGGCAGCTGAGGCTCAAGGGCGCTAAGTGATGCCTGAGGCCACCAGCCAGGCAGTGGCAGAGCCTGAGTTTAAACTGACCTCTGGGGACAGGGTGTGGCTTGGCTGGGGCACACGCTTAGCCTGGGTCCGGTCCCCAGAGTTGCAAAAAAAATCAGTGAACGTTCGTCTGGCCTCCAGAGATATTCTTTCTTCTACATGTTGTTGCCGCATTTCCGTTCCTGAGTACATGTCTCCATTTGAAAATGGGCCATGTACTTGGGGAAACAGAGGTCACAGAACATCCAGTGTAGCTTCTTCTGGAAGCTGGGTGTGGTGGCGCACACCTGTAATCCCACCACTCAGGAGGCTGAGGCAGAAGGATCACCATGAGTTTGAGCCCATCCTGGGCAACTTAGCAAGACCCTATCTCAAAATGAAAAGGGCTGGGGATGTAATTCAGTGTGAATTCAGTGTAATTCAGTGGGTTCTTCAGTCCCCTGTACTGAAAAGAAAACATGTCTGACGATGGAGTTCTGGTACCCTTTTAAATCTGTGTATTATTTGAAGTATTTTATTAAAAAATGCATCATTTTCTAACAATAAAAGGGGAACTCGGATGCCTGTGAGCAGCTGTTTGCAGCTGTTCCTGGAGGAAGGTCTGGCTGCGCGGAGACGGCACCCTGCCGATGGCTCCTGGATGGCAGCGTGGCGCTGAGCCAGCCCTCGGCTCGCCTGTCCTCGGGAGCCTTGCTCCATGGTCCTGGCGCCCTGAGACGGTGCTGCGGCCCTGTGGGCCTGACCAGGGAGCCGAGGCGAGAGCCTGGGAGTCAGGGCCCCCTACCTTCATGTCGTCCTCACCCAGGTCACAGACTCAGCCAGGAAACGAGCCTGGCATCCTCAGGGTTGGGATCGGACCTGGGGACATGGGAGGCGTCTCCCCCGTCTTGGCTGGTGGAGCGCTCGTCCCCTGCTCCTTTGTGGCAGTTTGGAGTCCTGGGGTCTGGATCTGAGCCTTCCTGTCACCGGCTTCCTGCAGCCAGGCCTTCCTTTCTTCCCGCTGTTTGTTGGAAGAAATTATGCAACAATTGCATTTTTTAGTAATTCAAACCAGAAGCTTCCCAGGCCCCTGTGTGCTGCTGCCTGCCCCCGCAACCACGGAGGCGGCGGTGATGGCCGCGGCCCGCCCTGCTCGCCCTCCCTTTGGCTGCCCGGATGTGTGTGCTCTTGGTCAGGCCTGTCCCCACCAGGTCTGCGGTTTGTCTTTCATTGTTTGCTAATGAAGGTGGCGCTCTGTCCAGCGCCGAGCTGCCCTGCACGCAGCCGGGCCCTTCCTCTAAGGAGGCGGTGAGGACGGGGAGGCCGAGGACCGCCTGCCCCTGCGTGATGACAGTTGGACCCTGAGACACCAGGTGCCTTTCGGGGCCCGGGCTCGCCCTGGCTCTGCCTGTGCCCTGTGGAGGACACGGAGCCCGTGGGGACGGTGAGAAGTGAGCACGGCTTCCCGGCCCCGGCTCCAGGACAGCAGGATGGCCTGTTAGCATGTCGTCGGGCCAGGCGCTGCAGGCACGGTGAGATCCTGCTCATGAGACGCCAGCAGCACAGCCCCCGCCCTCCAGAAATGTCCCTACCCTCGTCCCCAGTCAGGGCGGGAGCTAAGTCACCCCCGGCGAGGAGCACTGAAGCAAGCTGATGACGCAGGCCGACCTCAGCCACTTTAGTGCTCGCAGGGTCACTGCGTGCTGGCTGCCAGGTGACAGCTGACAAAGCCGATGAAGTGGGCCCACTCCCAGGCTGGCATTAGCAAAGAGGTCGGCAATGGCCTTAAGGTGCCACCTGCTGCGTTCCTGGGGGGCTGATTCCAGGCCAGGTCATCGATTGCCTGTGACATTAGCAGGAGGCCAAGAAGGTGACAAGCAGGGTGCTGGCGCTGCTGCTGGCCCAGGGGCTTCAGTGCCCTGGGGTCCTCGTTCCATGTGGTCTGTTGTCGTACCAGTAATGACGCGCCCGCCTGAGGGACCATGACAGGAGCAGAGAGCACAGGGCGCCCATGCCTGCTGCTAGCGTGTGGCCAAGGACGGCTGCTGACCTTTTTTTTTCTTTGCAGTACTGGGAACAAACACAAGGCCTTTGTGTGAAGCTGTATCTGTCCGCAGACCTTTTTTATTTTTTTTATTTTGAGACAGATCTCACTATGTCACAGAGTTATGCAGGCTGAGCTCAAACTTGTGATCTTCCTGCCTCAGCCTCCTGCAGTATGTGCAGCACCGTGCCTGTCTGTCGGCCACTTCTTATTACTGCAGAGATGAAGGAGTCGAAGGCAGAGCCTGTTGTTTTGAGGAGTTAGGAAGGTAGAAATAGCCAAGAACTGAAATGAAGGCCTGGGATGTGGGAGTGAGGTCCTTCGTAAGAGGGGTGTCACCAGGGAGACGAGGGAGGGGAGGGCTGGAGGAAATGGGCGTGCATGGTGGGTGGGGGTGTGAGTGGGTGCAGCCATTGTGGAAAGCAGCGCGAAGGGTCCTCAAAAATTTTTAAAGTAATTGCACTCACTTTGGCAGCATATATACTAAAAAATTAAAGGTAGTCAGGCGAGTGCTACACACATCATCCCAGCTTCTCAGGAAGCTGAGGCAGGAGGACTGTGATTTGGAGGCCAGCCTGGGCAACTTAATGAGACTGTCTCAAAATTAACAATAAAAAGGGCTGGGGGTGTTGCTTAGTGGTAAGAGCACTTGCCTAGTGAGTCCCTGGGTTCAATCTCCAATATTGCCAAAAAGTAAAAATAGAACTACCACATGATCCAGCAATCCCAATTCTGGGAGTGTATTTAGAGGACTTGAAACAAGTATGTGGCAGCAGTCCTGCGCAGCGCTGTATGCAAAATCAAGTGTCCACTGGTAGATGGGTAAAGAGAATGTTTCTTCATGTGATAGAATACCATGCAGCCTTAAAAAAGGAGGAAATCTTGTCATTTGTGACAACATGCAACATGGACAAAGCTGGAGGACATTATGATGTTAAGTGAAGTGACTGAGGCACCAGAAGACAAATGACTGTGTGGTCTCACCTACATGGGGAATCTGAAAAAGCTGAATTCATAGACGTAGAGAGGGCAGTGGTGGTTACCAGGGGCTGGGGAATGGGGAGATCCTGATAAGAGGGCAGAAGGTTTCTGTACATAGGAGGAATAAGGTTTTGGGCTCTATTCTGTAGCACAGGTAATACAGTATAGGCTGGGCATGAAGGCACACACCTGTAATCCCAGCACTTGGGAGGCTGAGGCAGGAGGATCGCCACAAGTTCAGAGCTAGCCTGTGCTACATAGTGAGCTCAAGGCCAGCCTAGACTACTTAGGAAGACCCTGTCTCAAAAAAACCACCAGCGCAACAACAAAAAAAACCAACAGGTATATAAATATATCAAAACTGTTGAGAAAGATTTTAAATACTCCCAGCACACACACATATATGTGCATACGCACAGAGCTAAATGAGGTGATGATATGGTAATTAGCTTGACTTAATCATTCCCTAATGTATCCCATGTATCAGAACATCATCATACCCCATAACTACATGTAATTATTTTTGTCAACTAAAAGCATAGGCCAGGGGCTGGGGATTTAGCTCAGCGGCACAGCATCTGCCTGGCAAGTACAAGGTCGTGAATTCGATTCCAAGTACCAGAAAAAACAAAAAAACAAAACAAACAAAACAAAACAAAACAAAAAGCATAGGCCAGGCATGGTGGTGCATACCTGTAATCCCAGCACTCAGGAGGCTGAGGCAGGAGGATCTCCATTAGTTCAAGGCCAGCCTGGTCTCTGTAAGTGAGTTCAAGGCCATGTGCACTATATAGCAAGACCCTGTTCCAAAAGGAAAAGTGTAGAAGAACAAAGAGAAAAGACAGAATCAGGGTGTGGGGCGGTCTGAGTGAGGTGAACATTAGTAGGGACCTGGGGCAGCTCTTGGTGGGCCGCAAGGCTCTGGCCCCCTTTCCCTCTGAGTGTTACCATAACTTAGCATCACGATGGCGAATGTGGGGGGCAGCGCTGTGCCCGTGCCTGGCGAGGGCCTGCTCTGCTGTGTGGCCCTGTGGAGGCTCCAGCAGTGTCCCTGCCATTGAGCCTGCCTTGTGAGAGGACTTTCTGGGCCCACAGGAGGGGCTCGGAAGTGGGGCTCTAAACTCTGCCTCAGGACAGGTGTTCAGGCTCATGGGCACTGCCCGTGCCACCTCCGCGCCTCCCCTGTGCCTCTGTGTCCCTGAGTCCCAGGGTCCTAAGCAGCCCCTGGTCTTCCGGTCTCTCCCGCCCACCCCTCAGCAGGCCGGGGGTGGCTTCGTGACGTCTTAATGGTCTGCCTCTCCCACTTTCCATCGCGCCCACCCAGCCCCCATCCTCTCGGGGCTCCTGGAGCTGCCCACCCTCCCTGGCCACCCACACGCCTGTCTTCGCAGGAAGGCGAGAACAACGACAAGTTCTTCACCCACCCCAAGGATGCCAAAGCGCTGGCCGCCTACCTCTTCGCACACAACCACGTCTTCTACCTGATGGAGCTGCTCACCGCCCTGCTGCTGCTGCTGCTGACCCTGTGCGAGGCGCCCGCCGTGCCCGCACTGCGCCTGGGCATCTACGTGAGTGGGGGGGGGCGAAAACGGGAGCTGGGCAGGGGTCTGCGCATGCGCGTGCGTCACCCCTCGGCTGACAACCCGCCCCGCGCATCCTTGCGGCTCAGCCCCACGGCCAGGGTGGTGAGTAGGGGCTGCCTCCTCGACCTGCGTCACTGCCACCCCGTCCCGTGAGTCCCCCTGAGACCCGCTCCCTGCTGCTGAGGTTTCCCCTCTGCTCCCGTGAGCCCTGCTGGGAAGTGTGCCCCGGGCAGGCAGGGCACGCATGTCCGGTCCAGTCAGGGACCCCGTCCGAGCACCTTGTTGGTCCAGGGCCCTGTGAGGTGCTAGGGAACAACCCCAGGGGACAAGACCCCTAGGGGCAACCCCAGGGGACAGTCTTCCAAAATGGGGAAGGCGGGCTCTGGGCATCTCTCTGCTTGGCAGCCCTTGTCTCGAAGACTCCTGGATTTCCAAGTTCTGCTGTTCCTTCCCTTCCTCTTTGGTTTTGAAGCCCCTGGGTCACGCTCCCTTAATGCTTTTTATGGCTGTTTTGTAAATGACATGCAAGCCTTCCTAGAGCAAGGCTGGGAAGGGATTGTCTTTTCTCACTCTCAAACTCAGGCACCTTCCTAATTTTCCGCTGTGTGGAGCATGGAGTCTGTTTCTTCAATATCAAGTTTGTATTTAGATGTTCTGGGAAAAGCTCCCTTTCTGGAGCTCCATCTGGCGTCTGGGGCGACCACGCTTTTATAACTGTGCCGTGTGTTGAGAGCAGTTTTCCAGGTCCCTGTTGGGGAAGGGACAGAGACGGAGGTGGCCATGGGGTGGCCCTGCTGGTGATGAATCTCTACGCACTCGCTGCAGGTCCACGCCACCCTGGAGCTGTTTGCCCTGATGGTGGTGGTGTTTGAACTCTGCATGAAGTTGCGGTGGCTGGGCCTCCACACCTTCGTCCGGCACAAGCGGACCATGGTCAAGGTGATGTCTGCCCACCACGCAGTGACCACGTTTCCCCGGGTGCCCTCAGGCCTGTGGGCGCAGCCTGTGCTCAGGAGGGTCTGTCACCTGGGGACCTGTCCTGACCCACTGGCATCCCCGCCAGGTTCCTGGTGTTCAGCACAGGCAGCTGGGGGGAGGCACGTGCTCTCTGTCCCACTCAGCCAGCCCAAGGGGAGCGGGGTCCCAGGCCCCTGTGTGTCACTGCCGGGGCTGGAGCCCTTCTGGGGCTAAGTTAGTGGGGGAGAGAGGTGGGGCCGCCCCTGTCGGTCTCCTGTATCCTGGGCTGTGGGCGCTGACGCTGCTGTGCCCGCTGTCCCCAGACCTCCGTGCTGGTGGTGCAGTTCGTCGAGGCCATCGTGGTGCTGGTGCGGCAGACGTCCCATGTGCGCGTGACTCGGGCACTGCGCTGCATCTTCCTGGTGGACTGTCGCTACTGCGGTGGTGTGCGGCGGTGAGGCCCGGGCGGGGTGGCCGGCCAGTCCCTGTTGTGTCAGAGCCTGGGGCGCAGGTGGGGAGGTGGCCAGCGAGAGTCCAGCCCTGTGTGTGCAGAGCGCCAGGTCCCGTGTGCATGTGCTTGGGGCAGGTGGTGGGGGCTTGAGCCACACGAGGGAGTGCTGAGCAAGGGGGTGTTCCCGGGCGCGCTGCGGGTTAGCATTCCAAGACCTCCTCTTGAGCAGCACGGCCCCTCAAGGCCCAGACAGCCACCGAGGGCTGTCACCCCCCCAGGGAGCCTGTCTCTCTCCCCAGCAACCTGCGGCAGATCTTCCAGTCCCTGCCGCCCTTCATGGACATCCTCCTGCTGCTGCTGTTCTTCATGATCATCTTCGCCATCCTTGGTGAGTGCTGGTGCCGGCCGCGCATGGGAGCAGGTCCGCAGGTGGAAGGGGCTGCGTTTCCCCAGTGTCTGCTAACACGGTCCGCAGGGATGTATTGCGCATGCTTCTGGAGGCCGGAAGCCCAAGGCGAAGGTTTCCGATGGTCCAGGGTCCAGTGCGGGCACTTCCTGTCCGCATCTGTGCCTCCTGCTGCGTGGGGAGAGGGTGAGGCAGCTCTCCGGGGCTGCTTGTGTGAGGGTGCTGGGTCATTCAGGAGGGCAGAGGCCTGGTGACCTGCATAAAACTCAGACAGCTTTTGTAAGTAATGTAGGCCCCGTGGACCCACCATTCAACTCAGCAGAGGGGGTGACGGAAGGAAACGGAAACCGCCTTCGGGTCCTCTGATCCCAGTCCCCCCTCTCCCAGGTGCACCCCGTCCTGAGCACCTTTACATTAATACTTCACAGGTACAATTCTGCAAGCCACGATTAAGTGGTATTGCCTGGCCTGGCTTAGTGTCACACACTTGTAATCTCAGCAGTCTGGGAGGCTGAGGCAGGAGGATCAAAAGTTTTAGTCCAGGGGCTGGGGATTTAGCTCAGCGGCACAACGCCTGCCTGGCAAGCACGAGGTCGTGAGTTCGATTCCCAGTACCGGAAAAAAGCCAAAAAAAAAAAAAAAAAGTTTTAGTCCAGCCCCAGCAACTTAGCAAAACTCTTCTCAAAATTAATGAAAAAAAACTTAAAAAGGGGCTGGGGCTGGGCATGGTGGTGCACACCTCTAATCCTAGCACTCGGGAGGCTGAGGCAGGAGGATCTTTGCAAGTTCGAGACCAGCCTGAGCTGCAAAGTGAGTTCACAGCCAGCCTGAACTGCACAGCAAGACCCTGTCTCAAAAAAGACAAAAATATAAAAAAACAAAAATCAAAAGGGGCTGGGGATATAGCTCAGTGTGAGGACCTGGAGTCAATCTCCAGTACTACCAAAACCAAAAAGACTCCTAACTGGTGTTGCCTTGCATATTTTAAAAAATTGTATAAATGGTTTCAGAAAGTATGTGTCTGTTCTGTGGGTTGCTCTTTTCCCCACTGTGCTTTTGTGGTTCCTCGCACCAACACATGTGGCTGTAGCTCATTCATTTTCCCTGGAGGGTAGTGAATGTGCCAGAACGCATTGGTCTGCACCCTGTGGGGTGTTTTCTGTGTCCCATGCCCCACTGCAAGGAGCCTGCTGACTCCTGGTGCACATGTCTGAGACCCTGTGGGGCAGTGCCTGGCCCTTAGGGCCTGTGACCTTGAGCTTCCCAGGATGCTGGAGAAGGCCACAGCCTTTCTCCTAGGAGCTGGGCATGCCCCTGGGGGTGGGCTGACCGTGTGGCCTCAGGCCAGAACCCAGGCTCAAAAGGTGAGGTCTCCATGTGGCCAGGACTCCTTGGGGGGCAAAGATGATGGAACCAGAGAGGCCTGATCTAAATGCAACGTCATACTGGCACCAGGCACTGGCAACTGCTCTGTGCCAAGCCCTCGGCCCCCACCCCTTACCACCACCCCATGGGGTGAAATTGCCCTGTGCCCACTCTGAGGGCAGAGTCTCTCTCTTCCCAGGCAGGACTTCTGGGCCAGGAATAGCCCATTCCCGGAGGGAGGAGGCTGCCCAGGACAGCCAGCCCTCGGGGCTGTGACTTGGCCATGGAGCTCTCACAGCCGGAGCTTGGAAACCAGTAGTCTGGAGTTCGGGCCCCGCCCACGGACGTGCTCCAAGTTTGATCTGAAAACTTGGAGCCAGTATTTTAAAATTAGATCTTACACAAAAGTGTGCATTTCCAAATAATAAAGCATGGGCCCCGAAACACTGGGAGAGGGCATCGCCTGCGGCAGCGCCCACTGTCCCAGGTGGCACTTGCCCTCCCATAGCGTCCCTGCCATGCCCATGCCCTTCCTCGGCCACTACGCTTGTGGATGTCAATTTGTCTGATCTTTGGGGGGCCTGGCCTGGGGCCCATGCTCTAACCCTGTCTTTCGTCTGTCTTTCTGCCATGTTCCAGGATTCTACTTGTTCTCTCCTAATCCCTCTGACCCTGTAAGTAGCTGGCAGCTTTGTCTCTTTTGTGGAGGGGGTTTTCCTTTGAGAAAGTGGCTGGAGGACACCCTGGGGTCTTGGAAGGGCCGCGCCCAGCTTCCCTCAGCCTCAGGCACCGGACAGACCTCCCACCGAGATGAGAGCTGGGGAATCCGCTTTCCCATGCTTAGGAAGGGGGTCCCATGGTCGGGTCTGGCACCCCGAGCGTTTGGTGCGGCAGTGGAGGGGCCAGGCTGGTGGCCCAGGCACGTGACGTCAGGAAGGGGTCCCCCATAGTGGAAGCCTGCTTCTGCTAGAGCGTGGAGCTCAGCAAGGCGGGGGACTGCACGTCTGCCCGGTGACCTGGGGGTCTGCAGGAGGAAGGGGAACCCGTGGAGGTGCTTTCCAGGCTGTGCCCTCAGAGTGACCCCGCCCTCCTCCCTCCAGTACTTCAGCACCTTGGAGAGCAGCATCGTCAGCCTGTTTGTCCTTCTGACCACAGCCAAGTGAGTCTGGGCTCCTCTGCCTGCGGTCATCCACTCGTCTGCCCCATCTTTGTGCACAGGCGCTCAGAGTGCTGTGGACACGGGAAGCCCAGGGGCCGGGTGTCAGGAAGGCAGACGAGGGGGCTGTCCCTGGAAGAGACGAGGCGGGTGGCCATGGGTGGCGGGTAACCCTCTGCCACTGCAGCTTCCCGGATGTGATGATGCCCTCCTACTCCCGGAACCCCTGGTCCTGTGTCTTCTTCATCGTGTACCTCTCCATCGAGCTCTACTTCATCATGAACCTGGTGAGTAACTGTGCTGCAGTGGCCTGCATCAGCCTCTGGGCGGGACGTCCCAGACTCAGCCCGGCGCGGTCTCGTACCGACGGTCAGTACTGCGGTCATCCCGCTGGTGAAGCCTTAGCCCGCATGCGCAAAGTGGTTTAGACATAAAGATGAGATGATGCAGCACCACTGCCCTGGCCGTTCTGTTACTTTGATTCTCAAAGAACAGATGAAGAAACTGAAGATGTCACGCTGACCAAGGGACCCAGCTCAGCTCCTGCCCCAGCCACCCCTTGCTGCGTCCATGTGCCAGGAGCATGTTATGAATTCATTTCCACCCTGTTTGTCGTGAGCCACCAGGAAATCTGATGTAGAGTGCAAAGTCCCTGCACACACTGAGACCTTTGGAGGTGTCAGCAGAGGCATAGCTGCCACTGGGCAGGTTTCCTGACATCAGCAGATCCTGGCCACTGCCGGGACTACGTGTCAGCACCAGAGTCAGCAGAGGGGGCGTTAGATCTGCTGCTGTGTGATTTGCTTGTTCCCTGTTGAGGTGCTGGGGAGAGAATCCAGGGCCGCGCTCAGGCTAGGCAAGTGCTCACCAGCCCAGCATATGTATTTCTGTGCAAACTTTTGAAAAGTATCATTGCACTGGTCACCGTGGTCAGGCCAGTGTAGAAACGGAAAACGTTTTCTCTGGGGAGATTTGTGAGACCTCTTAAAACTTTGCAGTCTTAAGAAAGAAAATATTTTCTTTTTTAATTCTGCAAAAACTGAAGAGCAGTGTGTGGCAATGTGTTCCCACTACCTTCTGGCTTCAGTGAATTTGCACAACCGGGTCACAGAACCCAGGAAACATGTGGGCCTGTTTGTCGTGTAGACTGTCAGGGCAAGGCAAGGCGGGTGTGCAGAACTTCCGCACTTTCACCATGTACCACGGGCATGCTCAGCTGTCCGGAAGCTCTCCTGAGCATCTTCTGACTTTTTGGCTTTTTGGTTTTTTGGGGTTTTTTTGCCCCCAGTACCAGGGACTGAGCTCAGAGCCTTGGCATGAGCTACATCCCCAGGCCTTTTAAAAAACTTTTTTATTTTGAGGCAGCGTCTCACCAAATCGCTAAGTTGTCCAGGCTGGCCTTGAACTTTCAGTTCTCCTGCCTCAGCCTCCTGAGTGTTGGGATTATAGATGTGCACCACCACGCCCAACTCTGAGTTTTACTGGAGGCTTCCTGGTGTAGGAGGCCTGTTCAAAGTGGGGACACCCTGTGCGCGTGGAGCTGGACAGCGAGAGTGTGACCTCCTGCTGACAGGCCAGGTGGGATGCCCGTGAGACCCGTCTGCCTCAGCGTTTGCAGCTCTGTGTGTCTCTGTGTGCCCTCCCCCAGGGCATTGGGCAGTAGCCCTGTGGCATGAGAGTCCCACAGCCTGTGACCACAGGAGGGAAGGTCAGAGAGTTTTTATGGCCAGCTCTTAGACAGGGCGGGGCTGATTAGAGTTTTGTGACGTGCTTTGGGAAAGTGAAATTGCAGTTCCTGAGGCCTGCTTGGGGGAAGGAGTTATGAGCCAGGAACCATGGATAAAAACAAATGTAGAGCTGGGCATATTGGCGTACACCTGTAATCTCAGCCCTCTGGGAGGCTGAGGCAGGAGAATTGAAAGTTCAGGCTGAGCTTGGGCAATTTAGCAACTCAGCAAGACCCTGTCTGACAATAAAAGAATAAAATACAAAGTGGGATGAGGAGGTAACTCAGTGTGAAGATCCTGGGTTTAATCCCCAGTACTGCAAAATAAAAGAAAACAGATGTGGACATACCATAATATCACAACTAGGAAAGTGTAGATCAGGAACCAGTCCAGCGCTGGGAGCTGGAACTGCTGGCCAGATCCAGCTCCCAGCCTGTTTCTGTCAATAAAGTTTTATTGGTACACAGCCATGTCCATTTGTGTGCGCAGGTCTGTGACTGGTTTCACTGGTAGGAAGGGGATTGAGTAGTTGGAACAGAGACCATCTGACCTCTTGTTCCGGAGAAGTTTGCTTACCTTCACCTCACCTAGACAAGTGGGGGACCACCTTGAAGAGGTGGAAGGAGAGCGTTCTCTCCAAATGCTTTTGAGAAAGAGCACTCCGAGGAAGGTTGTTGCAGCTTCCTCCCTCCGTCCCTGTGCCCTCTGAAGATGAAGCCTGCGGCCCTGATTCGCTGAGTGTGGGCGCAGGCAGCTGCGGGCACCCCTTTCTTGGCTAAGGCCTCCTCCACCCTCTCCTGTTGGGGGCCACCCGTGGGGCAGTGACCCCCAATAACCAGTAGGACGAGAGGAGGAAGGGGCGGGCTGTTCCTCTTGCTGCTCCCCTGTCCCCCAGCCTGTCGTCTGCCCGGCAGGGACAAATTGCAGGTGGGGACAGGGAGGAAGGAGGAGGCCAGGGGATCCAAGAGCAGCGCCTTTTGAGGGAAGGGCGCGAGTGAGCTGTGGTGCTGCTGCTGCTGCTTGGAGCCCAGCCCAGGGCAGCCCCTGCCAGAGCTCCAGGCCCCCACAGGGCAGCCAGCGCTCTGTGCTTCCCTCCCAGCTCCTGGCCGTGGTGTTCGACACCTTCAACGACATCGAGAAGCGCAAGTTCAAGTCTCTGCTGCTGCATAAGCGAACTGCCATCCAGCACGCCTTCCGCCTGCTCACCAGCCAGCGGGTAAGAGCGGGCGTCTGGGTGTCTCTGTCCTCCTGGCCGGAAATAGCAGTCTTGCCGTTGGGAAGATGAGCATCGCCCTGGGGTCTCTGGTGCAGGCCACGGGCCCTGGGGGCCCTGGATGCCTCACATGGTCTCTCTCCCCCAGAGGCCCAAGGGCATTTCCTACAGGAAGTTTGAAGGCCTGATGCGCTTCTACAAGCCCAGGATGAGTGCTAGGGAGCGTTTTCTGACTTTCAAGGCGCTGAATCAGAGCAACAAACCTCTGCTGAGGTGAGAGCGGATGCCCGGTGGGGGCGGGGCAGCCCCTCGGACATCCCCAGAGTGAGCTGGGACAGGAGGTCCACACAGCCTTGAGTTTTCTCACACAGCTTCTTCTGTGTGGAGATTGCGCTCATCGGGGTTCTTTCTTACAAGCCACAGGAGTCCTACTGAGATCTATTTCTGGGAGGCTTGGTAGAAAAGGGTTGTTTGAGCTGGGCGTGGTGGTGCATGCCTGTAATCCCAGCACTGTGGGAGGCTGAGGCAGGAAGATGAAAAGTTTGAGCCCAGCGCGGGGAACTTAGCAATTTAACATGGGATACTGTCTCCGAATGAAAATTTTAGAAAGAAAAGAAAACAAGGACAGGCCTGTTTGCCCATGAGAGGGACCAGTCCAGCTGCTTACCCATAAGCCCCAGGGGGGCAGAGCAGCCTGAGCGCTCCATGCAGTGCTTCGTGTGCAGACTTGGGCAGGCACCGTCAGCGTGGGGAGACGCAGCCTACGGAGGTGGGAGGCTGGTTGCTTATGCATGGCCTCAGCATGGCCGTGCCCAAGGCTGCCCCTCCTGGGGACTGAGAGCTCAGGGCCCCATAGTCCCAGCACTGGTGCCCCTGCACCCTCAGAGGTACTGCAGGCAGGCAAGGGTGGGGCCAGAGCCCAGTGGTCGTGTCAAGAGTGACCTGCCTTTTTGCTTTGCTTACAACAGCCTGGAGGACTTCTGTGACATCTACGAAATTGCCACCCTGAAGTGGAAGGTACGGGCTCCAGGAGACAGGCAGGGCAGGCGGGCAGAGTCCCGAATCCAGGTCCATCCCCACGTGAGAGCAGTCACCTCGGGGACCACAGGCCAGCCTGCACCTGCTTCACTTGGAAGTGGATTGTGGCTCAGAGCTCCAAGTCTTGGGCAGAACCCGGGTGCCTGGGTGACATCGGGCGAGTGACAAACTACCGACCTCCAGTGTAGCTGGCAGGCAGGGGTGGCAGGCGGCATCCTGGCCAGGGCCGGTCCTGGTCCTGGTCCCTCCCTGATACATGGTCCCTCATGGCCCTGCTGCCCTGCAGGCAAAGAGAAACCGCGAGCACTGGTTTGACGAGCTCCCCAGGACGGCCTTCCTCATCTTCAAGGGTGAGGCTGGGCCCGGGTGGGCGAGCGTCTGGGGCAGGTTCAGAGGGCGTGTGTGCGTGCGTGTGTACAGGGCGTGTAGTGTGTGCATGCAGGGACGCTGCAGGTGTGATTGTGTGAGCAGAGAAGTGAGTGGCAGGACCCGAGCTAAGCAGGATCTACACCACTAACTCAAAAGCCAGGGGCTGGTGATGTGGCCCGGTGACAGCCCCTGCCTCACCCCATGCAGGAGGCCCTGGGTCCCACTCCCAGCACTGCAGGAAAACACCCTTCAAAGGGATTCATCGAAGAAAGATTAGGAAGATATTTAGAAGAAAATGACGCCCCCTACACACACAGGGCAGCCACTGCCAATTCTCTGATGTGCTTCTTTCTGTGCCTTTTTTTTAATTATTATTATTTTTGTTTTTTGAGACAGGGTCTCACTTTGTAGTCCAGGCTTTTCTTGAACTCATGGTGATCCTCCTGCCTCAGCCTCCCAAGTGCTGGAATTATGGGCATGTACCACCACTCATGGCCTTTCTGTGCATTTTTAAACAGCAGAGGGATTATGTTAAGCATTCTCTCTGTGACCTGCCGCTCCGTCTAGTAACATATTCTACCCACTCCCTTGGCAGGCCGTGTGTGGGTAGTGTACTTGGCCGCTTGTGTAACACACAAACAGTCTGAACTTGGAAATTTTTCAGTCGGGGGCTGCTATGATTTGCCCAACAGTTCCCCTTAGTTCAGTGCCGGTTTTGAAGTTCTGCATGGGAATGTGGTCAGCCCTCAGGGTATTTCTTGGGCAAAAACTGGAAGCCTTGGTCTGGGCCGTTAAGAACAAGAGTAAAGACATTACAGTCTCTTTTGTGGTTTTTCCCACATCAAAGCCCTTCCCCAGCTGTTACCCCATGTTCTTTTTATTTATTTATTTTTTTATCCCATATTCTTTATTCCCCTCACTGCTTTTTTTTCTTTTAGAGACAGGGTCTTGCTGTGCTGCCCAAGCAAGCCTCAGATTCCAGGGTTCAGGTGACCCTCCTGCCTCAGCCTCCCAACAAGTTGGGACTAAGGCATGTCCATCCCAGCTCATGTCCCTTGATCTCTGAGGGCTTTTCCTGCCACTCAAATGGTAGTACAAAGCTTCGCTCTGCTCCATGTCGGCACCAGGTTGCCTGGGCTCTCCCCAGGGCAGCCGTGTGTCTTGTCCAGGCTCTGAGCCATGCTGTGGGTGTTGCTTTAGGCCCGTGCTTTGTCGCTGTCCTTTGTCAGCCCCACACCAGAATGTGGTTGCCAGATGCATGAAGTTTGGTAGGGGGACTTGTTCTTGCAGGAAATCCCGACTTTAACATTTCTTTTCTTCAAACAGGAATTAATATCCTGGTGAAGTCCAAGGCCTTCCAGTATTTCATGTGTAAGTGCGAGCCGACAGCCAGGCTCTGCTCCTCCTCAGCAGTTCGCCATTCTAGCCGCTGGGGAAGCGGGAGAAGAGGCTGGATTATGTCTCTGACTTCGTATGGTAGAAAATGCCAGGCTCGGGGGCTGAGGGTGTGATGCAGTGACGGAGCTGGTGCTTTGAGAATGGGAGGCCCTGGGGTCAGCGTCACTGCCTCCCACAGAAATCAGAAGGGAAAAGTCCCAAGCTCTCTGAGAGTGGAGGGAAGGGTGTCTTGCAAACGCGGCACCCAGCGCCAGGCTGTCATCTCACGGGCGGCCCTTCCCGCTCACCGCGACCCTGCAGGAGCTTCGGCGGCAGATCCAGAACCCTGGCGTGTGATGCTGACTTGTATCCTAAGTCTGCTTTAACCTGCGTGCTCGTCTTCGTCCTTTCCTCCCTTGCGGGATACCACTATGAGGAAACAGTGCCCTGTCCTTTGTCTCAGTTTGCTTGTCACATTGAACTCACGTCTTAGAATCTGGTGATTACGTCGACCACCATGGTGTCTGACACACTTGCCGCGGGTGGCTGTTTACATTTAAGCTAATTAAAAGAAAACTTCAAGGGCCTAGGGATATAGCTCAGCGGCATAGCGCCTGCCTGGCAAGCGCTAGGTCGCGAGTTTGATTCCCAGTACCACCAAAAACAAACAAAAAAAAAACAATAACAAAAAAAGAAAACTTGAGTTCCTCATCACATGTCAAGTGCCCAGCACCAGAGTCAGCACAGGGAGTGCTCTCCTGGGTCAGGGCTGATCTGGAGGCTCAGCCGGATGCCCCCTTCCCAGGAGCCCTGGCACCCTCAGGCCGGACATGGCATTTAGAGACCACAACCTGAAGTGCTGGGGTGCTCGCTGCTGCAGATTGGTTATCATGTCTTTCCAGGGACGCGGCTAGGAGATCCCCTTTGTAAGATAGCTGTGTTGCGTGTTCACCCTAGTACTTCAGATTCGGGAAGGGGGTTTTACCTGTCAGTGTGACATGTTAAAATCTGGCTTCCCAAGAATGCTAACACAGTTGTTTATTTGCTTCATCCCAGTCTTATAATAGCAATCTCAGGACAGTCCCAACAATGTAATTACTAGGAGTGGCACGCTAAGGACACCTTCAGGTCACTGTTTTAGCTCGCACATTTGAATCAGTCTTTCTTTCTTTCTTTCTTTCTTTCTTTCTTTCTTTCTTTCTTTCCTTTCTTTCTTTCCTTTCTTTCTTTCTTTTCTTTCTCTCTCTCTCTGTCTTCCTCCCTCCCTTCCTCCTGCTTTCTCTTTCTTCTTTCCTTCCTTCCTTCCTTCTTTCCTTCCTTCCTTCCTTCTTTCCTTCCTTCCTTCCTTCTTCCTTCCTTCCCTCCTTCCCTCCCTCCCTCCCTCCCTCTCTCTCTGTCTTTCTTGTACTGGAGGTTGACCCCAGAGCCTTTGCCCTGTGTGACATCCCCAATCAACTTTTAGTTTTTATTTTGACCCAGTGTCTCACTGACTCACCTAGGTTGGGCTCAGACCTGCCACTCTCCTGCTTCAGCCTCCCAGCATGGTAGAGGGACAGGCATGCGGCATTGTACCCAACTGTGTTTCTTTTGTTCTGAAAGGAAACTCCCGGTTGATTCAGCTCCCTAGAAGGAGCTCAAGCAGAAGGGAGCTCCTGTGAAGCGGGCGTGTGGGGCAGCCCTGTCCTCCACGGGGCAGAGCTTCCTGGAGAGAACCAGGGCTGCAGCCAGCTGTGACCGGCGCATCTCCCAACCCTCCTGTCCTGTGTCTGCTGTGGTCTCTTTCAGACTTGGTGGTGGCGGTGAATGGGGTGTGGATCCTGGTGGAGACTTTCATGCTGAAAGGTGAGCAACTGCAGCTGGGGATGGTTGCCCTGCGGGACTGGGCTCGCCCTCACCTGCCCTGCTCTGTCCTGCAGGCGGGAACTTCTTCCCCAAGCACGTGCCCTGGAGCTACCTCGTCTTTCTCACCAGTGAGTGTCCTGGCTGGGGGGCCGCCGTTGCACGGGCAGCGTGCTCTTCCCTGCAGAGCTGCGGAGGGAAGGGGCAGAGATGCAGTCTGATTCTGTCTCATCCCTGTTTAAGCTCCGCGGTTGTCTCTGCCCTCCAGAGCGAGCCTGGGCCGGGTGTGACACACCTGCCTGGCGCGTGGCCAGCACTCACACTGCTGTTCCCCGTTTCCTTGTCAGACTCTAAGCTCCATGCCAGCGGGCACCACCCATCCCCACTCCTTGTAGTGCCCAGCCCTGAGCCTGGCACTAAAGAGGTGCACAGGGAGCGTGTCCGAGAGGCCGGGGCATCTCTGTGCTTAAGCAGTTGCCCCATCATCCGCTGCCCAGGCCAGGCCCTGTCCTGTAGCGCCTGCCGTCCCCTGCAGGGTGGGGAGGTGGTGTCTGCAGGACCCCGAACCCAGTCAGGAGGGAGAGGGCCAGGGACGCAGTGCTGACCGCCCCTCCTGCCTGCAGTCTATGGAGTGGAGCTGTTCCTGAAGGTGGCTGGCCTGGGCCCTGTGGAGTACCTGTCCTCCGGATGGAACCTGTAAGTGACACTCTCCCGGCCCCCAGCCCACTCCCTCATGTGCTGTCCACTGCGGCTCAGGACCTTACACGGCCACCCTAGCCTGTCCTCCGGGCGGTGGCCCCAAGGTTGCTGACTGGCTCGGCAGGAGGCATTAAGTTTGTCCTCCGCTCAATCTCAGCACCTGGAGAAGGCGCCAGCGCCTCCCCTGGTTAGCAGTGGAGAGAGCCACGCAGCCCTTCTCTCCTGGGAATCAGGCCCCCCACAGAGACCCCGGGTCGTGAGAGGGACAGTTACCAGTTTCCAGAGGGCAGTGGTATGTGCCTGCCGTCCCAGCTGTCTGGGAGGCTGAGGCAGAAGGATCACTTGAGTCCAAGAGTTCAAGGCCAACCTGGGCAACACAGTGAAATTCTCTCTCAAAAAACTAAAGCTAAAAATAGGCTTGAAAAATAACGCTGAATGGCAGAGAGTTACCCAGGACTCCATACAGAAGACCAGGAAGGACATGTCCCTTTTGTCCTGTTCTGCCAGGGAACTCTCTGGAAGTCCCGCCTCTTCCTGCAGTGTCCCTGGGGGTTGGGCGACAGATGTGTTGGGTGCTGCCGAGCCTGGATCTTGCGCCCTCTCTGCCCTTAGACCACTGCGGCCCTCTGGACTGGTTCCCAGGCCTCTGTGCCCACAGGGTCAGCCCCGAGGCCTGACCCTGAAACCTGTGCTATGCTTGGGGCCTGGCCCCTCAACCCCATGGCCCAGGGTGAACCTGTGGGCGAGGCTGGCAGAGGCGGCAAAGATGCAGGGTCCTGGGCTACCAGGCCAACCGTGGCTTCTTCCCTGGCCCAGGTTCGACTTCTCCGTCACAGCATTTGCCTTCCTAGGCCTGCTGGCTCTGGCCCTCAACATGGAGCCCTTCTATTTCATCGTGGTCCTGCGTCCCCTCCAGCTGCTGAGGTAATGGCCAGGGCTGGGGCGGGGACAGACGGAGGGTGGGAGCCCCTGGGACTGGCCTGGGAGGTGACGCAGGGCTGGAGTCAGAGGCATCACTGCCCTGCAGAGGCTGCGGGCATGAACAGGGGCTGGGTCTCCTGTAAGCGCAGGCTGCACCCCATGGCCGGGCACACCGACTGGCCTCGCTGCCCTGCTTGTGACTCCTGGGAACTCTCTGCCCATGGAGTGACCCGCACTGCTATGATGCTGTCAGAACCAGAGCGCTCAGCTCAGCAGAGACCCCCTCGCTCTTCCCGGGCCCCCTCTGGGGAGATCCCTCATGCAGGTGCCCCCTTTCCCAGGCAGCCGAGGGGAATCAGTGGGGCCCTGCCCCACCCATGGCATCTCTTCCGAACGAGGCTCGTGGGACCTCCTGCCCTTGGGGTCCTGGATTCTCTGCCTGCCGCAGCCCACCCACACCCACCGTCCTGTCCCCTTCCTCCCTGGAGGCCTTCTTGGCCCGGTCTCTGGAGGAAGAGCCTGCTGCCACGGTACCCATGCTGGTGGCCTGCATGTCCCTTCTCACACGCAGCCGCCCGCTCATTAGCCGTGAGCTGTAACTGGGCATCGGTGCCTCTTTCCTGGTTGGTCACATCCTCTGGAGCAAGGCCTCAGCCCTCTGTGAGCTGCCTGCCTCATTTGAAAGCCCGCAGAGTCTCTGCTACCTGCCGCATGACCCTGTAAGGCGCTGTGGGGAAGCTGTGCGTGGTGGCACACGCCTGTCATTCCAGCGCCAGAAAGGCTGAGGCAGGAGGATCACAAGTTTGAGGCCAGCCCACGCGATTTAGTGAGACCTGTCTCCACAAAGGCCTGGGGTGTGACTCAGTGTCAGTGTCAGAGTGCTTGCCTGGCATGTGTGAGGCCCTGGGTTCCATCCTCGGTACCCGGTTACCACCGTCTGCTACCCCGTGCATGGGGCCCTGCAGCCTCTCCCGCCACATGCAGGCGTGGAAGGCGGGTGGCCCAGGTGTCCACCTTGACCGCTGCCCTTCCCTCGGCCAGGCTGTTCAAGCTGAAGAAGCGTTACCGCAATGTGCTGGACACCATGTTTGAGCTGCTGCCACGGATGGCCAGGTACTGCCCTGCCCCGGCCCACAGGCCCGGCACCGCGCGTGTGCCCAGGGAGGGAGCTGGGAGGTGTCGGGGCCAGGAGGAAGCCCAAACGGGGTCGACCAGGGGCCTGGCGGGTCTCAGAGGAGGCTGACTCTTGGCTACAGGGGTGTCCCTGGCCCGCCTTCCCTCCACTGCCCCTTCCGAAATACCCACGGGCGGGTGGGGCTGCGGCGCACGCACCGCCTGTCTCCTGGGACCCCCGAGAGGGTGAGACTGCGTCCAGGACGTCTGTCCTCGGGTCCCTGTGCAGATGCCTGCAGCGGTGGCCCGCCCTCCGCCCTCACTCACATCCCTCTGGCCTCCTTGCAGCCTCGGCCTCACACTGCTCATCTTCTACTACTCCTTCGCCATCGTGGGCATGGAGTTCTTCTGCGGGCTCCTGTACCCTAACTGCTGCAAGTGAGTGGCCGGGGCCCAGGCTCGCTGGGAAGCCCTGGATCTCAGGGGCTGCGTGAGGAGCCTGGACTCCGCTTGTCTCGGGCTGGGGGTGGGGGGTTGTTGGGCAGATCCTTGCCCCCCAGCCAGGGTCAGGAGCCATGCTGCCATCAGGTGCCCGAAGGTTCTGCGTCCCCGGGGCCAGAGGCCTGAGTCCCGGGCTGCCCCCTGCTCTGCAAGGGCATGTCTCCCGGGGGCAGCCCCACCCCATGCCTGCCTGTCCCTGCCCGCTTTGCCCCAAGCCATCCTTCTCAACTTGGCGTCCTTTTCGCGAGTGGGTCCCTGTGACCCGAGTGCTGACCCCGCAACCACGTGCAGTGTCACGCTGAGCTGGGGACCAGAGCCGTGGCCGTGGGTTACCAATAGTAGAGTACATCAGAACCCAGAGGGCGCGTCTCCATGGGCGCGTCCCCGACATGCCATCCCAGACGTGCCTGAGGGGAGCTGCTGTGGACTTGCAGGAGGCCCACGACTCTGCCTGCTGCTGGTGGCCCAAGTGCTGAACTCTTAAATGCATCAGCAGTGTGGAGTTTAACCATAAAGAATGGGCAGGTAGCTGGGTGTGGTGAGCACATCTGTAATCCCAGCACTCAGGAGGCTGAGGCAGGAGGATCTGTAAGTTTCAGGCGAGTCTGGGCTATATAGTGAGTTCAAGGATGGGCTCAACTACGTAGTGAGGCCCTGTCTAAAAAAACAAAAAGAAATGGGCACACACTCAATACTCTGGGAGGCTGAGGCAGGAGTATCATAAGTTCATGAGTTTAAGCCTAGCTGGGCAAGTTGTTTAAAAAAATGGGTGGGGTTTGCAGCTCCGTGGAGAGCTCCAGGTTCATCCCCCAGCCACCCTGCAGAGGGGCAGATGAGGTCTCCTTGAAGTGGGACACACCGAGCAGAGCACTGGATGGGAGTGGCTCCTCCACCTGGAGCTGGAGCCAGGTGTTGGGCTCAGGAGCCCCCCGCCCAGTGGGGGCACAGAGAAGGCAGTGGCAAAGCTAGAGAGCAAAGTCCCCAGCTACAGAGATGCCTGGAGATGGCGCCAGGGCCGCAGGGCTGGGAGCTCCCCCAAAGCTGGCAGGGGTTGGAGCCCAAGGCCCTCCTCAGGCAGGACACAGCAGGAGCTAGAGGGGCGGGGCAGGAAGGCCCCACGGCTGGGCCTTGCCTAGGTGTCCTCTGCCGAGGGGACAATGACCTTGTGACCCCTCTGCCCCGGCCCCCAGCACCAGCACGGTGGCGGATGCCTACCACTGGCTCAACCACACTGTGGGCAACAAGACCGTGGTGGAGGAGGGTTACTACTATCTCAACAACTTCGACAACGTCCTCAACAGCTTCGGTGAGTGGAGCCTGCGGGTTGCCGAGGGGATGCCGCTGGCGCGCTGCCCGGGTCCCGGCAAAGCTGGGCGAGGCTCTCCGTCCCCTGCCTGCGGCTGGACCCAGCTGGAGGGTGTGCTCCGCCCCTCGAGGGCCAGGGTCCAGTGCCTCCCCCTCATTTGTGTCTTCTGGGGAGACCCTGCCCAAGTGCTGCTCCCAGCCCAGGCCCCTGGCTCTGCTGTGTCCCCCAGCTCTGTGGATAAGCCTGGGGGGCTGGAGGGAGGTGGTCTCCCAAGAGAAAGGGGGAGCCCTCATGACATCCTGTCTCTGCACCCAGTAGGGTGGGATGGAGGCTTCCTGGCCCCAGCTGGCCCTAGTCCCGTGGGGATGTTGAGGCACAGGGTGCAGAGCTCTCAGCCCCGGCAGGCGTGCAGTGGCTCCATCCCTATGGGCCTGGGTCCTGGGAGAGGAGCCCAGAGGCCTCTGGAGCCTGATCCGTCAGGGCACTTCTCTGTGTCCTCCCCTCCACAGTGACCTTGTTCGAGCTCACAGTTGTCAACAACTGGTACATCATCATGGTAAGGATCTCGGGCCCCTCCCCAGGATGGCTGGCCCCTGCTTCCCCCAGCAGCCAGAGCGGCCCCCAGCCTGAGTCTCGGATCCATCTCCCGGTGCATGGAGATGACATTTCGGTCAGCAAGCGGTAGCAGGCTGGTCATGATGACAACCTCCCGAAGTCCAGCACTTAGGAGGCCAAGGCGGGAGGGTTGCTTGAGCGTGGGAGTTTAAGGCCAGCTTGGGTGACACAGTCTCTAAAGGGAAAAAACAGCAGTGTGGCCTGTGCTGGAGAAGAGCCAGTGTGTGGTCTGGTCTCGGCCACCCCTCCTGGAGGGTCTGTTAGACCCCAGGAAGCTGGGCCCGCTCAGCTCCACAGCCAGAGGTGCTGTAACCGGCAGTAGAAAGGCTGTAGGCCGTGGCTGGAGCGGCCTGGGCAGGCGGGCCGGCACTGCGGGTGCCCTGGCTCACTGTCTGCATCCCTGTCCGCTTGCAGGAAGGTGTCACCTCGCAGACCTCCCACTGGAGCCGCCTGTACTTCATGACCTTTTACATCGTGACCATGGTGGGTCTGACGCTGCACGCCCTTCCTCCTCCTCCTCCTCCTCCTCTCCTCCTCTTCTCCCTCCACGGCTCCCGGGTGGCCTCTAGCAGCCCTTTTGGGGCGCAGGCCGAAGCCACTGACGCCTCCTTCCCCTGCCAGGTGGTGATGACAATCATCGTGGCCTTCATCCTGGAGGCCTTCGTCTTCCGGATGAACTACAGCCGCAAGAGCCAGGACTCGGAAGGTGGGGGGGCTCTGTCTGTCTGTCTGTCTGTCCATCCGTCTGACCCCATCCAGTGTCAGCTCCGTGGCTGGGTGTCAGCTTGTCAGCTGGCTGGTGGTCCAGCAGTTCAGCTTCCTGGCGCGTCGACTCCCTGCCAGCTCAGCGTATCCATTTGGCATTGATATTCTGACACTGAGTGGCAGATAATCGCCCCAGTCTCATCTAAAGCCCATGCGAGTCAGGCTTGGTGGGGCTTGCTGCAAGGAAGCAGCACCCCGGACTGTGCCCGGGCATCCCTGTGAAGGGAGGGTGGCCCCACCGCGTGGCCAGGAGGGTGGATTTGGAGCTTAGCTCCCTCCTCGCAGTGGACAGTGGTATCACCCTCGAGAAGGAAATCTCCAAGGAGGAGCTGGTGGCTGTCCTGGAGCTGTACCGCGGGGCTCGAGGGGCCTCGTCCGATGTCACCCGGCTGCTCGAGACCCTCTCACAGATGGAGAAGTACCAGGTGAGGGGCACAGGCCTGCCAGCCCACACCCTCCCTGCCCTCAGGTGTCGGGGCGCGTGGGTGGCCCCTCGCAGGCCCGGGCAAAGTGGGAGAGCGCTGTGGCCCTACACCAGTCCCGGCGTGGGCAGGTTCAGGGCCTGCAGTGGCTGAGCCCAGCAGCAACCTCTGTTCTTTTTTAGCAAAATTCCCTGGTGTTTCTGGGGCGGAGGTCAAGGACCAAAAGCGACCTGAGCCTGAGGATGTACCAGGAGGAGATCCAGGTAGGCCCTGCTCTCCTGGGAGGCCTCAGTCCCTGTCCCAGTGGATACGGAAGCTGGGAAGATGGGGGACATCGCTGGGGACACTGCAGGGGCAGCTGGGACTCCGGGCCAGGCCTGCCCAGCCTCAGCCCCTTGCTCTGCCCCGCCGATCCGGCTGTCCTGCCCGGGTCGGCCCCTTGGCCCCGCGGCGCCTCCTTTCCCACTCTGACCGAGCTGCAGACAAAGCTGCTACAGCGAGAGTCAGGATGGACGGAGAGGAGGTGGGGCCCGGCCATCGAGGCGATGTTGCCCAGGGCCACGCCCCACTTCCTGGAAGGAGTGAGCCCCGCTGAGCCCAGCCGCTTGGGCTCTGATTGTCTGGGGCTTTTGTTCTAAGAGAAAAGAGAGGTCAAGTGTTTTCCCCAACTCTCTGTCTCTCCATATTGGTCACTGCATTGAAAATCCTCCTAGAGCACCACGTGGCTGGCACTGTGCCCTCCGACAGAGGAACCACCACTCAGGGGCCTGCTTGCGGTCTCCCTCCCTGGGGTTCCCCGTGCCACAGCCTGTTCAGGCATCCTTCTAGCCGGAAGCCTGGTTTCACTAAGGCAGTGATGACCATGTCCATGCCTGGGGCCTGGAGCTGGGCTCCCAGAACTTCGACGCTGTCTTTGGAAACCCAAGACACAGTGGGCCGCCTTCCTTGAGCACGCTTAGTGGCCTCTGAACTGCATTCCACTCACCTCTGCATTCCACTCACCTCTGCATTCCACTCACCTCTGCATTCCACTCACCTCTGGGACAGGGCCTGCCTCCCAGAGACACGGGGATCCTCAAGAGTGTGACTGCACTGTTTTTTTCTCGTGTGTGTGTCTGTCTGTGTTTTTTTGAGACAGAGTTCTCATGCAGTCCAGGCTGACCTTGAACTTGATACGTAGGTCAGGCCTGCCCCAAACTCAAAATCCTCCATTCTCAGCCTTCTGAGTGCTAGGATGACAGGCAGGTGTGACCATGCTTGGCTGAACTTCTTTCTTTCTTTGTGTTTTGGTGTTTTGTTTTTCTGAGATAGGACCTCACTAGGTAGTTCAGGCTGGCCTTGAACTCGCAGCAGTCCTCCTCAGCTTAGTGCTGGGATCAGAGGCATACGCCAGCATTCCTGGCTTGTACTGTTGTTTAAGCTCTAAAGCTCTGTAGTCATCCGGTTACAGAGATGATGTGAGCCGGGCGTGGTGGTACACACCCATGATCCCAGCTACTCAGGAGGCTGGGGTAGGAGCGTCACTAGTTTGAGGCCAGCCTGGGCAACATAGGAAGCACGGCTCAAAACAGGAAAGACGATCGGTGCCAGGCAGCCTTCCCCAGCAGGTGTGTCCAAGCACTGAGAACAGACTTTGTCGCCCCACCTTTGGAGCCCCCGCCCTGCCCAGTCCTAGCGGGTGGACTGTGGCCTAAGCCTGCCGCACTCTGTCCCCAGGAGTGGTACGAAGAACACGCCCGGGAGCAGGAGGCCCAGCGGCAGCCCCTGAGCGGCAGCGGCACAGCGCCCGACACCCAGCAGCCCCCCGGCAGTCGCCAGCGCTCGCAGACCGTCACCTAGCGCCAGCTCGTGAAGCCATCTCTTCTATGCAATACCACAGTAGTATTCTCTTCCCACCATGTATCGGGAGAACGTGTGTGAACACGCACTCACATATATGCACATGTTTATAGCAAGCGGACCAGCACTGAGGCGCCGTGTAGTTGCCTGGCCCTGTCTTCCGATGCCACAGTTGCCTGGCCTTTACAGGGGCCGTCCCCACAGGGCCGGGCTGGGCCGGGCTCCCGCTGCTGCTTCCAGGCCCGCGTCCCCTGAGAACTCCCTACTAACCCTCCCTGAGACACCCTGTCACAGGCATGTGTCTGGCTTTTGGGACAAAACCACTTACCAGTAGGAAGGAAAGAACTTCCCACTCCGGCGGTATTTCTCAGATGATCATGTAATAGGACAGACGTCCCTTTGCAGGAGGAGGAGTAGGGGGAGATTACAAACTATGTCAGGTGGTCAGGTGCAGGCGGCCGGAGCCAGGCGAGAGGTGGTACTGGCCCGTTTCAGTCCCACCTCTGTGAGTCTTCTCTCCTGTGCCCTTCGGTGTAGCCCTTATGGCTGGAAAGCCTCCTGCCACAGCCTCCTGCAGGACACAGGCACCAGGTAGAGAAGACATGGCCGTTTCCTGCCTGGGCCACCTGTACCAAGTCTGCTTCCTGGCATGGGCCTTGCCCTGTGTGTGCTGGGAACGGGGGCAACCTCTGCAGGGACGTTTGCTGCAGGCATGGCGGGGACTCATCTCCAGGGTTTTCCATGCCAGATTGGTTGTTGCAGGAGGCCTGGGCAGGCACCCAACTAACCGAGCGCCCCAGTGCCTCGTGGGTGGTCTGTGCAGGGCTGGGGGTGGACAGGTGGCACAGGGCAGAGGTTAGGGGTAGCAGCTGCCAGGCACACAAAGCCTGGTCCTGGGGAGCAGTCCCAGTCCCAACCCCTCCTCCTGGCCACCTCCAAGGCTGGGCTAGTCTGGAAGCCGGCTGGGTGCCCTCTGCCCTCAGCAGGGCAAAGCAGGTGTCCCATGTTTTTAAGCACAGCCCTTTGGGAAAACACTGCTTCCCGGGGCAGTCAGGAGACAACATGGTCCTCTTCCTCTCTAGAGGGCATGGGAGTTCAGCAGAGCCTGGGCCAGAGCTCTTCTCTCCAGAGAGGGAACCTTATTTGCACATCCGGGTGCCTTTTTGCTTTTGTGTATTGGAATGGGCATTCTGGGAGGGGGCAGGGGCAGCCTCATGGGGGGCGTGGCTCTGCAACCTGAGCATCTGGCCTGCAGAGTCGGGGGTGTCTCGGTCCTGTTGGGGGGTCACTAGTCCCCCATCCTGTCCCTGACGTGGCACTGGTCAGGACCAGTCAGAGGTACGGGTGGCACTAGGGTCGGCAGGCCAGACTCCAGCCAGTGTTGAGCTCTGTCATCTGGCCAGCGACACCAGGGGCCACCCAGGCTGTGAGCCCCAGGGCCCCAGGATGCCATCTAGCTCAGACAGCCCTGTGCCCCCACGTCGCAGCTGAGCGGGACCAGGTAGCCCTCGCTGCACACCCCCGGTCGCAGCCTGCCCAGGTTGGCAGGCTCTGTGCCCACCCCCAGGGTGCGGCGCTTCGGGGAGGACAGCGTCCGGCCCCTGCTCCTCCCTCACCCAGCCTTACGTCACACCACGTGGACAATCATTTTGTACGGATCACAGGAGCAACCCTGTAAGATTTTGTACGTTGGTGATTTGCTACCTAGAAACCCACTGTGTCTCTGGATCTCTGGCATATTAATAATAAAAGAGCCTGTGCTTTGTAGACCTTGTGACTTCCGGTTACATGGTGGGAGGGGCCCCATCATGGCCCCACTCACCCCACTCACCCCTGCCTCCAGCGCACCCTCACCTGGCCCCGTGGAGAACTGGTGAGAGTGAGGGCAGCCACCTGCTGTACACTTGTAATACTTCATCTTTATTTAGAAAACGCTGAATCCCTTTGTGGACAGCACAAGGCAAACAAGAGCTAACTATTGAAAGGCGGGGACCCCTTCCCCGCCCCCTGAGGTCAGCAGACTCCTCTGGTGCAGCCAGGGGCCCGGGGCGACCTGGGGCCCTGGGCACGGAGTTGTAAGGACAGTCCAGAGCCACTTCCAGTCATGCGGCTGCCCCAGCAAGAGGTCTTGGAGCCGCTGGGTCCAACGACTGTCTCCCGTTTCTTCTGGCTTTATGAATGTGGCAGCTGGAAATTCTCAGTGAGGTCCTGCTCTTTCCGCCCACCTGCATGGGTCTAGAGCTCGTCCTGAGCCCTCAGTCCCAGTCCCCCTGGCTCTGCCAGGGTCGCGCAGCCAACAGAGCCCGGGGAGGTGCAGGCCGCCGGAAGCCAGCGAGGGACAGGGCAGGGCTGACCTCTGTGGCCACGTGCTGCCCTGAGCGCATCCAGCAGCCCCCAACCCCAGCTTCCCCAGGGGGCGCTCAGCTCATCCCAGGGGCTCAGCGCCATGGGCCTACAGCCCCGACACGCAGACCCCAGGCCCAGCACTGGAGCTGTGGCTGCTGGTGGCCGGGGCCTATGGTGGCAGCTCCCGAGCTCCAGCAGTGAGATACTACAGGGGCCGTCCTGTTCTGCCCTCAGGAGGCCACACGGACCCCCTCGGTGCCACAGCCACACACCAGGTGGCCTCAGTCACATGATTCCCAGGTGAATCACCCCGAATTCCGTGAGCAGGGCCACAACAAGGAAGGCGACGTAGAAGAGCAGCAGACAGAAGCCGTAGGCCTTGCTGAGCTGGAAGCACTGCAGTGGGACGGCGACCAGGGAGAAGGCGAGGCTGAGCCCCAGGGCACTGGCCAGCACCCAGTCCAGCAGTCCGTCAGGCTCCAGCTGTGGGCGAGGAGAGGGCTGCAGCCAGCAGTGTCGTGGCCGGGGCACCGCGGGGCACAGCAAGCTTCCAGACTTGAGCAACACAGCAGGGAGCCCCATCTACCTGCTCTGTTCCGCCTCAACCTGCTCTGCTCCACCTCATGCTTGCTTCTCCCAGCCTCCCCTGGGTGCCACAGAATCACAGTTCCATGGGTATTGTTTTACTTTGAGTACTGGGGATTGAACGCAGAGCCTTTGCACTAAGCTACACTCCCAGGCCTTTTTGACTTTGAGACAGGGTCTTACTAAGTCACCCACGCTGGGCTGGAGCTTCTTCCATGACGTTTCCCAGTAATAAGATGGATGAATGGGGACAGAGGGACAGACGCGGTAGACAAGGGCTCGGGGGTGGCGGCAGCGTGGCGGGGATCGTGTGTGCCTGCTGTATGCTGCTCTCACCTGTCCTGTGGGACGCCACCCCTCCCTCGAGACCTCACGCGCCGTGTTATCACGAAGACTCGTGCACAGGTCCTCACTGTGCGTCTGTTTAGTGTTTACTGTGCGCCAGGCATCGTGTGGAGGCCCACGCAGCGCTGTTGTCTCTGACAGCAGCCTGGGCTGGCGGCTGCAATGACTGAGCCGAGCTGTCGGAGCAGACACTGTGGGCAAGGGGGCGCCCACACCAGCTCCTGGACCCTAGAGTTGGGGGGCTGAGAGGAGGGGCCGGTAGGTTCCAGGTGGGGGCTTCAATACTGCATAAATTCATGTCCAGCCAGAATCTCAAGAGTGTGACTTAGCTGGGGGGCAGGGGAAATGCCTATAACCCCAGAAATCAGGAGGCTGAGGCAGGAGGATGGCAAGTTTCCAGGCCAGCGCGGACAACTTAGTTAGATTCTCTCCCAAATCAATAACAAAAAAAGGAAGTTGTATTTTTTAGCAGGCAGTCACCAGAGTGTTGTCTCACATCTGTCTTAGGCAGTGTAACTGCCAGAGCGTTTCCTAAACTCCACACCACGGTGTGGTTTGTGTGGGGGGTGTTCTAAAACCTCATTATCTGAACCTGCCTTAGGATCTGTAAAGAAAAGGGACCTGTTAAGCCCTGAAAGAATGTATACAACATAGAGATGTTCACCTTTCAGAAAAGACAAACTTTTCAAGCTGTAGGTAGCTACTGCTTAGGGGGCAGGGTGTAAAGGCCTGGTAATCACCAGCCCCCCACTTCAGGACATGAATGCCTCTTGGTGACTTGTCTTCCCCTGAGTATCCAAAGTAAGCACTGTCCCCTAAGGAGGCTTCAAACCGGCCTGTAGGCTGCTTCCCTCCTGTTTTTTAATTGGTTCCTGTCAGTCTGAATTCTGCTCCTGCAGAAGCGAGCTTGTGCGGTAGGCCTACGCGAACTCCATTTCCATGTGTGCCCGGCCCTGCGCTCGCAGTTTCCCACCTGTGAGAGCACAGTTTCCCCAGTGGACCCTTGTAGGGCCTGCATCAGGCCCCAGGTGCTTTTGGAAATGCTGACCCGGGCAGCACAGCTCCAGTACAGTGAGTGGGGCCCTGGGTTCAGTCCCCGCACCAGACAAAGCAGTCTCAGGTGCAGCCCTGGAAAGCAGGTCTCACATGCCCAGGGACATCCTGAGGCACCTCAGAGGCCAGGCCAGTCATCTCGTGTTTCAGAGCCTCCCTGATCTGGGGACTCCCTGCTTCAGAGTGCATTTCTATTCTCTCCTCCCACTCCCTCTAGGGACAGTGCTGGGGTCTGGGGTCAGCCTGGCCCACACCCCACATTCCCTTATCCACAAAGCCTGGAAGGTGTTGGCCTCCCCACTGCACAGGTGAGAAAGCCAGAGCCCAGAGACGCCCTGACTTGCCCAAGTCCCACAGCAAGAATTAAAGGATGGGACCGGGATCTGAGGCTAGGGCTCCCTGCCTCATTCTCCCAGCTACAGAGAAATCTTGGTTTTGCTGTCAACTTGCAAGAAAAGTATTTTTTCAACCCTTAGCAAACTATTTTCAACAAAGCAGACTTGTGTCACAAGTGCACACAGGGCCCCTCCCCCAGGAGATGTGAGCAGGCCCCGGGCCAGAGGCGCAAGGGACAGGAGGAGGGTTGGGGCGCAGGCCACTCACCTTGACCTCTGGGCTGCCCCGGACCATCTGCAGCAGACAGCCCAGCCCCACGCCCACCAGCATATCTGCACAGGCTCAGGAAATCTGTGGGAGCAGCTGCCCCACCCTAGCCACGCCCGGGCTCCAGCCGGCTGGGCTCAGCCTTGGGGCTGGGGTGCCCTGCAAGAGGGGGCCTGGTTCATTTGCCGTCTGCACCCACTGCCTGCCACTCAAGCCCCGCACCAAGAAGACCAGATCTAGGGCTGGTGCGGTGGGTGGTGAGCACCCTCCCGGCACTCAGCCCATAAGGATCAAACGGGGAGCCAGAAATGCTCAGCACCAGCCAGGCACAGTGGTGCACGGCTGGAGGCTGAGCGAGAGGACCTAGAGTCCCAGGTCAGTCTGGGCTATGTGGTGAGTCTGAAGTCAGCCCTGAACACGGTGGGTCGCCGCCGGCCCCCAGGGGCTGCTCAGGGCCCCTCTGCCCCACCCAACCCGAGTGGAGGGGAAAGGCCACAGTGGACAGTGGGTGCAGATCTCAGCAGGGACCAAGCGGCCACAGAGGGCCCCAGCCTGGAGTGTGGCGCAGCAGGTGCTGCCATGACGGCACCTGGCCACAGGACAGAACCCAGAGTGTCCGCATTCAGAGCCCTGGGCCCAGCCTCAGCCCAGCTCTCCCTGCCTTGCCTATGTAGACTAGACCAGCTTGGCAAGCATCCGTTGGGCCAAACTAGCAGAGGTCTGCATTTATAAATAAAGTTTTATTGGGACAGAGCCACACCCTTTTATCATTGTGTCCCTGTTTGCTTTTGCAGTACTGGGGGTTGAACCCAGGGCCTTCACGGTATGCTACACCCCTGGCTTTTTTTTATTTTTTATTCTGAGACAGGGGTCTCACTAAGTCACTATATTGCTCAGGCTGGATTCGGACTTGCAGTCTTCCTGCCTCAGCCTCCCAGAGTGCAGGGATTCCAGCTGTGCACCATCCCACCCAGCAGCGACAGCCGCCGACGCCAGCCCTGGGGCCAAGCACAGCCCCAAAAAGGATACTGAAGATGATGCCCCCAAAGCAGGCTGAGAACGCCATCCGTGGGTAGCCCTGGCGGGCCAGCGTGAAGTCTGAGAAGGCATCTGCAGGGAACAAGAGAGCCTTGAGCGGCAAGTGGCTTCCCTGGCCCTCGCTGATGCAGTCAACAAACACTGACAAAGACCACTGGCCCTGGCACTAGCCAGGAGTGACACTGTGGGTGTGGTATAATGCACAGCTACCAATCTTCACCCACGTCCCATCTGCTGCTGGCACCTGTAGCTCCTCTGTGTGGATTAGGAAACGGTGACCCAAAGGTGAGCAGAAGGAGGGCTAGGATTTACTCTCCCTGTCTGCTTACCTGGATGCTCTGGTGCAGTGCACAGCCTGGTCAACCTTACCTGGCTGCTGGAGCTAGGTAAGCGTATGTGTATGTGTGTGAGTGCCTCCATGTTACACACCCATGAACACATCAAGCACAAGTGGGTTTAAAATGACAGTGGATACCTGACATATGCTGAGGGCAGACTTAGCTGTAGCTCTGGCTGGCTAAGGGACTGGATGACAGCACCGTGCCACCCCAGAGGCCCACCCAGCCCTGAGTCACCTCCAATGCTGTTCCCCCAGGCCAGCAACGTGAGCCCCAGGACTGTGTTGCTCAGCTGGAAGACCACGCCCAGGGACCGCAGGATGTTCACCACCTCCGTGGCAGCTGCATTGATCCACAGGGCGCTGGTCAGGAAGCCCAGGAAAGCAAAGAGCTGCGGAGGCAAGTGCATCAGGTGGGACCAGGCCTGGCCATTAGGCACGGCCTCAGCTCCTCATCTGTAAGATGGGTACAGTTCCTATCCCTTACGCAGCTAACAGCACAGAATGAGCTAATACATGCAATGAGCGCTTGCATATAATATGTGCTTAATTAAAAGTTAGTGAAATATTGTTTTTTTTAAAGATAGGGTCTTGGGGCTGGGGATTTAGCTCAGCGGCAAAAGCGCCTGCCTGGCATGTACAAGGTCGTGAGTTCGGTTCCCAGTACCGGAGAAAAACCAAAACAAACAAACAAACAAAAAAAATAATAATAAAGATAGGGTCTCTCTATGTAATTCAGGCTGGCCTTGGAGTCATTATGTAGCGCAGGCTGGCCTCAAACTCACTGCAACCCTCCTGCCTCAGCCTCCCAAGTGCTCGGATTATAGGTGTATGCCATCATGGCTGGCTGCACACAAGAAAATGTAGAATATTCACAGGAGTTCTTGTCCCTAACAGCCAAAAAGTGAAGTAAAGCAAAAGTCCACCGACATGGAAGGACAAACAACCTGTGGCATGTTCGTACAACAGAAAGTCACTGCATTAAAAAGGAACACAGCAGCCTGGGGTGACCTCGGTGGTGGAGGAGTGTCCTGCTGTGCAGTGCCCTGGGTTCAACCCCTAGCACCCCACCTGCCAAAACAGAAAAGGTGTTCGCCGTGGCAGTGCACGCCTGTAATCCCAGTACTTGAGGCTGAGGCAGGAGGATTGCCGAGAATTCAAGGCCAGCCTGGGCTAATAGACCCTGTCTCAAAAAAAGGAGGAATGAAGGACTGGCGCATGCTACCACACAGACGAGCCGTGAAGGAGGCCAGGCAGGAAAGGCCACTGATGGTGTGGTTCCATTACTCTGCAAAACCCCAAAGGGTCAAATCTATATGGTAGGAAAGCGGTGCCGGGGGCTGGACGTCGGGAGAGGGCAATGAACAAATGTCCTTCGCCAGCACGGTGAGGCCGCCAACGCCACGCACATAGTGAAAGGCAGCAAAGCGGGTGGGACGCAGACTCACCTCCGTAAGGTAAAGCCATGCCCAGAAGCGAACCCTGAACAGGTACAAAGCCCTCCACGTGGTTTAGGGTCCCCAGCCCAGGGTCCCCTCCTGTGTGTGGGGTTCTTACCCAGTGGAGCCTGGGGGGCTCCCTATTGGAGGTGGCAAAAAAGGTCACAGACGCCAGGCCGGTGCCAGAGATTACCACCACAGCCCACACGGGCAGGAGGCCGCCGATCTCATAGACGCCGTCTGTGGACAGAGAAGGATGGGGCGCTGTGGCCCAGGCTGTGCGGCCCAGGGAGCCGAGGCAGGGGAGAGGCTGGGACCTGCGCTCCTGAGGGCTATACCCAGGTCCCTGTCCCCGCCTGCCCGGCTCTGTCTGGCACATCAGGGAACAGACAGATGCTCAGGTCAGACCTCTGAGGGGCAGGAGTCACACACAGCCGGGCCAGAGCAGGCACAGATGAAAAGGGCACCCCTGTCAGAGGCACCAGAGACTGGGCTGCAGGAACGTGGTCCAGACCCCAGATAAGCCAAATGCCAATGACAGCACTGTAGTTTTGTTGTTCTGGTTTTTTTTTTTGGTACCGGGAATCAAACTCACAACCTTGAGCTTGCTGGGCAGGCGCTGTACCGCTGAACTACATCCCGGGCCCTGGTTTGGTTTTTTTGACGCAGGGTCTCACTATCTGGCTCAGGCTGACCCAGAACTTGTTGTGATGCTCCTGCCTCAGCCTCACAAGTGCTGGGATGACAGGTGGGTGCACCACGCCCGGATGGCACACACGAAGCACCTGCTGTCTGCCCTGCCGGTGCCCTGGACCCCAGAGGTACTCACAGGCCCCCGACTGCAGCGTCAAGACCACGACCAGGGGGCTGATGACCAGGTGCAGACAGTTGAGTGGCCGTTTCCAGTTCCGGTCATCCTTGTCTGGGTCCACGACGGGCACGGTGAGGAGCAGGAGGAACTCCACGGGCAGCTGCACAGGTAAGGGGGAGCAGGACCTCCTCAGGGCCCGCAGTGCCCTCCCCACACTGTGGAGGGGGCCTGCGCCCACCATGACAGCGGACAGCTTGGACTCCAGGACAGACCACCCCACCTTGTCCGGCCTCCAGGGGCCGCCCGAGTTCCCCCGCTCCCAGCACTGCTCCGCAGTGCACAAGCACTGTGCCTCTGTCGCTGGCTTCACCTGTCTAAATCCTCCCCCTCCCTCTTTTCTTCTGTTTTGTAGAACTGAGGACTATAGCCCGGCAGTGCTGAACCGCGTGCCCAGCCCGTATTTTTTATTTTGAGACAGAGTCTCAGTAAGTCATTAAGTTGCCCGGGCTGGGCTTGAACTTGGGATCCCCCTGCCTCAGCCCCTGGGGTAGTTGGGGCTATAGGTGTGCACCACTGTACCTGGTTCCTGCCTCCCTCTTCCCCAGTGAGGACGCCCTGGTTACACCGGGCCGACCCCAGAAAACCCGGGAGACTATCCACCTCAAGACCCTTAATCACTGACTAACACAACCACTCTAGAGCCCAGCACTATACCGTGAATGCCATCTTATAGGGAGGACAAACAAACAAAAAACCACATCTGGGGATATAGCTCAGCGGCATAAGTGCCTGCCTGGCAAGTGCAAGGTCCTGAGTTCGATTCCCAGTACCAAAAAAGAAAACAAACAAACATCTTACAGGGAGGAAACTAAGGCCCAGAGAGGTTAAGCGATGTGCCCAAGGTCACAGTGTAGCCAGACCTGCTGAGGGCTGCAGGCACAGTTCATGACTGCTCCAGAGTCTGAGGAGCCTAAAATCCATCCCCGCTGGCCAGGTCGTAAGAGCTGCAACTGAGAGGCCTGTGATGCCTGGGCTGTTGGGAGTCTGACTCCTGGGCTCCTCATACCTTGAGCACCTTGAAGACCCTCCAGGACACTGACTGGTTTCTCCACCTCCGGTAATCCAGGGGGTTTAGGGCCTGGGCCAGGATCTGCACGGTGCTCTCCTGGTAGGAGAATAGTGGCCGGTACTCATCACCTGCGAGCATGGACAGGAGGGTGTGGCCAGGCTGGCTGCACCTGCAGGGCATCCTCTGCCCTCCACGCCCCTCCTCCCAGACACCCCAGCCCAGGTGCGGCCAGCTATGGGGAGAGGCAGGGCCGAAGCAGCCCCCTCTCCCCACATCTTCACCCCAGCCCTGCCAGGTGCCCCCACCCCAGCGGGGCCTGAGACACTGGCCTCACCATAGTCGTAGCTGCTGGTATTCGAAGACATGGGATCCTCCTCTGAGTCCGACAGCAGCTCTGCAGGAGATGGCGGGGGACCGGGCGGGGCTTAACGTGAGATCCCCCAGCACCACTGGGCAGGCAGTACTTTTGAACAGGGCCTTGCTGTGTAGTCCAGGCTGGCCTCGACCTCACAGCAATCCTCCTGCCTCAGCCTCCTGAGTGCTGGGACTACAGGCCTGCACCACCACACCTTGCTGGTGTAAATATTTAAGAGTGCACGGATCTGTACCTAAGTGTCTTCTGTGTATGATTTGTGTACATGCACATATTGTGTGTGTTGTATATATGCACATATTGTACATGCACATATTGTGGTATTGTGTATTTGTAATATCTGTGTATGCATTTGTGTATGTGCATGTACTCCCTCAGCCAAGTCACCTGGTGTCACGTGGAGGGGGAGCCAGGGCCCTGACACAGGAAGAGGAGGCTGACGGTACAAAAGCAGCAGGGAGGGGACCCAACTGGGATGCAAAGCCAGCAACGCCTCAAGGGCCACAGATGGCAGAGGGTCACTGTCCTCTCCCGGGGACACAACGCAGACCTCACCTGGCGTCCCAGGCATGGAGTGGACCAGGGATCTCCTGCACTGCCATCGGTAGATCCAGGTGCAGAGGACCACGGTGAGCACGTAGAACACGTACAGGCCCAGGCAGGCTGCGTTCAGGGTGCAGCGGTCACCAAGCGGCCAATCCCCCACCCCGCCCCCGGCCTGGGGGGCCCCGCCCAGCAGCTGCTCCTCACCCAGGGCCCAAGCCAGCGTGACCCTGCCCAGGTAGAGTGCCGTGAAGGTGAGGAACACGGCCGTCATGTAGAAAGCAACGTCCCTGAGAAAGGGCCTGGAGGCGGCCACGAAGGGGTGCAGGATGGCGATGCCTCCGGCCACCACGGTGGTGACCAGCACGCCGGCACCTGGAGGAGAGCAGCGGGTCAGCACCCCGCAGCCCGCACCCTCCCCGCCCCTGCCGGGCCACACGCACCGAACAGAGCCCCGATGGCCAGGCTGGCCGTGCGCGGGTCCGAGAAAGCCACCAGCGCGCTGAAGATGTCAGGGGCACCGTTGCCAAAGGCCAGGAAGGTGACACCATGGGTAGCATGTCAAGGAGGGGTCTGTGCAGGGCCCAGACTGGGCATGAGCCACCACCCTGTGCCTGCCGCCCCGCGGGGAGGGGACCCCGGCTGAAGGATACTGCTACGTTGTGGGACAGCTTGAGGGTGGCGGCGATGGCGGACAAGTTGGGGCAGAAACTGTGGAGGAAAAGTGGACAGTGAGGGCTTCCGTAGAGACCGGTGGGGTGGGGCGTGAGCAGTGGGCAGTGAGGGCTTCTGCAGAGACCGGTGCGTGGGGGGGTGGGACGGTGGGGGCAGTTGACAGTGAGGACTTCCGCAGAGATCGGCCCTGCCCAGTGTCCCCCAAACCCAAGGCCCAACTCACAACTTGGCCGCAGTGACTCCCAGAACCAGAAACAGGTACAGCAGCCACAGAACCTGGGCGGACGGAGAGGGGACGGGTGAGTCCCTGCTGGGCCGCGTGGCCCTCACCCCCTGACCCCCGGGCGGGACGCACATAGAGGGTGACGACCAGGGGCAGGAGGCTAGGCGAGAAGTGGCAGAGGATGCCCTCGAGGTAGTCCAGGTAGCCGCTGTCGCTGCGGCAGTCGGGGTTGGAGCGGACGAAGTCACAGCGGTCAGAGGCGTTCAGGCTGTACACGCTGCGACACTGTGGGAAAGGAGAGTGGGGACGTTAGGGACAGAGTCCCCAGGTGGACAGAAACGTCCTTCAGCCTGTCCCCAAACTCCGCTCACCCTCCAAGTACTAGCTGCACAGTTTTATTTGTAAAAACAATCTTGCAGCTGGGTGAGGCGGTGTGCCACTGTGATCCCAGTACTTGGGAGGCTGAGGCAAGAGGGTCTCTGTGAGTCTGAGTCCAGTCTGAACTACATAGTGAGACTTCAGTCTCAAAAAACCCAAACTAAAATGAAACAACTCCAAAAACAACAAGTTTGTGGCCAGGAGTGGTGGTTTTCACCTGTAATCCCAAATACTTGGCAGGCTGAGACAGGAGGATCCAAAATTCAAGGCCAGTTTGAACTGCATAGTGAGAAACCTTGTCTCAAACAAAGAACAGCAAAAGCCAAACAAAACTTGTGTTTGAAAGTAACACAAATAATTCACGCACTCAGGTTTGTTTCAAAAGAAGTATGAAGATTTTCTCTCTTTCTTTGTTTTTTATTTGTTTTTGTTTTTTAGTCCTGGGGACCCAAATCAGGGACACTAACCAGTGGGTAACCCTCCTGAGCCTTTTTTAAAATTTTGAGACAGGGTCTCACAACATTGTTTAGCAGATTTTTTAAAAATCTGTTTTTGCTGCGCTGTGTTTTGCAGAGCTGGGTACAGAGCCCAGGGCCTTGTGTATGCTAGGTAACAACTCCACCACTGAGCTTCATTCCCAGCCCAAGATTTCTAAATTTCCCTTTTCATCCCTGTCTGCCATAATCTCTACCCACTCCTCAGGTCTTCCATCTCAATCAGTTTTTTTTGTTTTGTTTTGTTTTGTTTTTTGTGGTACTGAGGATTGAACTCAGGGCCTTGTACATGCTAGGCAAGCACTTTACCACTAAGCTACATGCCCAGCCCCCATCTTGATCAGTTTGAAGCGCATCCTTACACACATTTCTCAGTTCTATGGCATTTGTATATAAACCCTTCTATTCAGTAATCCCAGCACTCTGGGAGACCGAGGAAGGAGTATCACAAGTTTGGGCCCAGCCTGGGCAACTTAACAAATTACAAGACCCTGTCTCAAGATAAAGAAAAAAAACTTTTTAAATGCTGTGGATACAGCTCAATGCAAAGAAGCTGCAGACACAACTCCAGAAAATAAAATAAAATAAATGGTGCTGGAAAAACTGGCTTTCCACATGCCAAAAATTAAAACTAGATCCGTATCTTTCACCATGCTAAACTAAAATCGAAATGGACCAAAGATCTAAACAGTAAAACAAACACTAAATCTGCTGGAAGATAGAATAGGTAGAACTCTTGAAGACATTGATGTATGCAAAGATTTTATGCACAAAACCCAAACTGCACAGGAACTATCACAAAGAATCAACAACTGGGTTCAAGGGCCGGGGAGAAGGCTCAGCAGCACAGTGCCCGCCTGGCAAGCATGAGGTCGTGAGTTCAATTCCTAGTACCCAAAAACACCCCCCAAAAACAACAACTGGGATCTCATCTTATTAAAAAGTTTATGCATAGCAAAAGAAACCACCAACAGAGTGAAGAGACAACCCACAGTGTAGGAAAAAAATTTTGGCAGCTGTTCCTCACACAAAGGACTAGTCTCTAGATTATATAAATAACTCAAAAAACAAAAACAAACAAACAAAAATTTAACTGGGTGTGGTGGCGCACGCCCAGCACTCGGGAGGCTGAGGCAGGAGGATTGTTGCAAATTTGAGACCAGCCTGGGCTACAAAGTGAGCTCAAGGCCAGCCTGAACTGCATAGCAAGACCCTGTCTCAAAAAGACAAAACACCAAAAAAAAAAAAAAAAGCTAGTAGAAAAAGGCAAAACAAACAAACAGCTCCCCTCCACCCAATTTAAAGATCCAATCCAAAAGTGGGTATCTGAAATCAATAGACACTTCTCAGGCAAAGAAGTAGAAACAGAAAATGAATATATGAAAAAATGTTCAACATCACTGGTCATTCGAGAGATGTAAATTAAAACAACACCGAGATTCCTTCTCATCCCAGAAAGAGTGGCTGTCATCAAGAAGTCAACCAATAACAAATATTGGCGGGGCTGTGTGGAAAAATGAACTCTTCTCCACTGTTGATGGGAGTGTAGATTAGTGGAACCACTGTGAAAATCAGTGTGGAGATTCCTCAAAACACTTAGACTAGAGATCCCATTCAACCCAGCTATTCCCTTTCTTGGTATGTTCCCAAAAGAATGAAAAGCATCATACCACAGCGATATACCCATGTTTATAGCAGCACAGTTTGTAATGGCTAAATCTTAGAAACAGTCTAAATGCCAGTCAACTGATGAATGGATAAAGGAAATGTGTTCTTTTTAATACAATGCACTACTACTCTGCCAGAAAGAAGGATAAGCTTGAGACATTTCTAGCTAAATGGATATGTCTTGGGACCATTCTCTTAAGTGAAATAAATCAGGCACGCATGTTTAAAAACTGCATTGTTTCTCTGGTGTGAAAAACTGAGTGTAAATAAGGACCAAAATAGATATCGGGAAGAATAGATATTGGGAAATGGGGAGAAAATGTTCAAATGAGAAGGGGAACTAGGGGTGGGGGAGGTAAAAGGAAGGAAAGGACAAGAAAAAATAGAGACTAGAAGGAAAAAATGGAAATAAAGCTTTTGTAAATGAGGAGGGGAAGAGGGGTTGAAGGGAGAGGAGGAGAATGGGAAAAAAAGAAGCGAGATACACCATGTACAGGTATAGATTCCCTGTGGTGAATGTGATCATTATGTATACCTAAGATGTAACAATAGTAAGGCTCGGGATTTAGCTCAGCGGCACAGCGTCTGCCTGGCAAGCGTGAGGTTGTGAGTTCGATTCCCGGTACCGGAAAAAAACAAAAACAAGCAAACAAACAAAAAAGATGTACCAATAGCCAAAAAAAAAAAAGAAAGAAAAGAAAAGAGAACCAAAACCAAAAAGAAAAATGCTGAGGATGTAGTTCAGTGCAAAGGACCTGAGTTCAATATCCAATATGGGAAAAACAGTTCACCCTGTCTCTGCTTTTTGTTATGCTGGGGATGGAGCCCAGGGCCTCACACATACTAGGCAAGTGCTCTACCACTAAGCTAGAGCCTCAGCCCCATCCGAAGTCTTTTGTTTGTACAACTGGCTTTTACCACTTTATGCGTCATATATTGATAGACATAACATAAACACATCATATAAGCCAGGGCAGGTGGAGTGGTGTCAGTAGGCCAGGCACATAGGTACGAGTTTAACATGTCTGAATTAATCTGCACAGCAAACCTTTGAGGAAGGTACCGCTATCAGGCTTGCTATATAGGGAGGAGACTACAGCCAAGTTCCAGTGTCCACGCAGTGGCAGAGTCACACTGGAGGTGCTAGACCTGCTGTTTGTTGTTGTTGTTGTTTTTGGTTGGTTGGTTTTGATTTCTTGAGACAACGTCTTGCCCAGGCTGGACCTGAACTCACAGTGATCCTCCTGCCTCAGCCTCCCGAGGAGCTGGGGTTACAGGCATGTGCCACCATGCTGGCTTGCTTCTCTGTTTGTATACTTGTCTTCCATACTCCTGCCCAAGTCTCTCTGGATCTGCTTCTAAAGACTGCTAGACTAGGATGTGTTCAGACTCAGCTCTTTCGCCTCTAGAACTCTCTGACACAGGAGTCTCACATGTGCTGAGCGAATCCTGAGCAAGGAATTTCACTGTGACATTGTGAAATGAGTCACACCCACACAGTCACCACAGGGACATGAGCATCTCCATTGCGGAGCCATAGCATTTTTTTTTTTTTTTTTTTTTTTTTTTTGAGACAGGGTCTCACTATGCAGTTCAGGCTGGCCTCAAACTTACAGTGATCCTCCTGCCTCAGCCTCCCAAGTGCTGGGATCACACGCATGCGCCACCATGCCCAGCCTCAGCATTTTTAAGAGCAGCATCAAAGCCGCAGCTACTTTTCTGGAAAACACTGCAGGTAGGCAGTTGCAAGTTCAAGGCCAGCCTGGGCAACTTAGTGACACTCTGAGTTCCCTCCCCAGCAACAACGAAAAGTCAGGAAATAACAAATGTTGGTAAACGTGGAGAAACTGGAACCTTTGTGCACCACCGGCACGAAAGTCTGTGGCCCACAGGACAGCGGCTCCCCAAAGCCACGCCGGCAGTCTTACTTCCGGGAGTCCGCCGAGGGGCGCCTCGGAGATGCTCCTCCGTCCATGCACACCGCAGCATTATGTGCAGCGGCCAGAGTGTCTGGGAGGAACCTAAGGCGCTGTGAGTGGGTGACGGCACAAACAAAACCTGGCACATGCAGCCAGACAAGCTGGCACAAGCCTGAGACCCCAGCTCTTTAGGAGGCCGAGGCAAGAAGATTGTAAGGTTCCAGGCCAGCCTGGGTGACTTAGTGAGACCCCGTCTCAAAACAAAATAAAAAGTGCTGGGTAGGGCTGGGGCTATAGCTCAGCGGCACAGCGCATGCCTGGCAAGTGCAAGTCCCCCGTGTAAGGCGCTGCGTTCCATCCCTAACACCGCAAAATGCAGAAACAAAACTCACACAGGAGCAAGGCGGGGATTTCTGCTCCAGATCCTCCACAGCTCCACCCAGCCCCCAAGCGAAAGTCCCACCCTAGAACAAAGTCGGGCCAGGCCCCTTCCCCACTGGAGCAGGACGATGCGCCTCTTGGCAGAGGCCCCTGGCTCTGCCTGGGCTTTGGACTTTGCCAGGGAGCGCAGGCTACCCAGGAAGCGGGAAGCTGCACAGGAGCAGGGCCACTTCCGCTCTGGGCTTTAGATGCTCCGTAATCGCTGGCTACAGTGGTAACATTCGGGCTTTCTTTGTTTGTCTGGTGCTGGGGATTGAAACCAGGCCTCTGCAGCATGCTAGACACAAGTTCTACCATTCACACCCCTGCCCTAAGTTTTTATGTTTTTTCCTTTTTTATTTTATTTATTGGGGAAGGGGGTGCTTGAGGCAGAGGTCTGTAGTTCAGGCTGGTCTTGAACTCCCTTTGCAGCCTAGCCTGGACTCGAACTCGAAGCGATCCTCCTGCCTCAGCCTCCTGGGTGCTGGGATTACAGCCATGCACCACCATGCCTGGCTGTTTCTCTCAAAACTTGAATCCATCCCTTCCATCCATCTCTGCCCTGCAGAGGCTCCCATCTGGCCTCCTGACCTCCAGTCTTAGCAGCAGGGATTTAAAAATGCACCTCTGGGGCCTGGGGTATGACTCTGTGGTAGGGCACAAAAAAGCAACACCTACCTACAGCTTTTGCAGGAGCTGTTCCTCCAGCCTACCACATTCATCCTATAACTCTGGGTTCCCAAAAACACTTCTTCCAGGAAGCCCTCCCAGATTGCTACCAGCCTAGCTAAGCCAAACGCACACAAATTGTCACTGGCGCCCTTCAGCCCAGATCTTCCACAAGGTACTGGTCATGTTTTGAAATCACGCAGCTGTCTGTAGACTTGTTCAGTTTCTCCTTTCTCACCAAACCCTGGCCCAGGGCCTGGCCCAGAAGGAGCCTACTCACTTCACCTCACTGGGTCTTCCTAAGAGACTTGGGAGGTTGGCACAATTATTTTCACTTGAAACTGGGTGTGGTGGGGCCGGCCTGTAGTCCCAGCACTGGGGAGAGGCTGAGGTAGGAAGATCGTTGTGAGTTTGAGACCAGCTTGGGCTACAAAGTGAGCTCAAGGACAGCTTGAACGGCATAGCGAAACCCTGTCTCAAAAAGATAAAATAACGGCATGGTGGCGCACCCCTGTAATCCCAGCACTTGGTAGGCTGAGGCAGGAGGATGGTTGCGAGTTTAAGACCAGCCTGGGCTACAAAGCGAGCTCAAGGCCAGCCTGAACCGCATAGCGAGACAAAACAGACCAAAAAAAAAAAAAAAAAAGGCAAAATAAAACAAATCTTCTCCGGCCCACTTCCCTTTTTTCATACAACTATTAAATATATTTACTTTTTAAAGAATTGTTTTCCACTTCCAAGATGAGAAAACAGAGGCACAGAGGCAAAGTGGCTGTCCCCAGGCCACACACACTACCCCAACAGCTTCAGACTGGCTGTGCGTGACAGTTACTGGCCGCAGCTCTTGGAGAAATGCATTGCCCAATGGATTGGACACAGCCTCTTCCTTGGGCTCTGCTCCACTTCCTGCCCTCCCCCTGCCTCCTGCAGGTCCCCAGCGTCAGCGAAGAGGACCAGGAACCACTCCCCAGCCTGCCAGAGATGAGTCAGCCGGGCAGGGCCTCCAGGAGCAACTTCCTGCGCACGGCATGTGGCCCCCAGCCCCGCCAAAGCCCCCTCCCCAGGCCCCAAGCCCCAGGCCTGCCAGCGTGTGTGGCAAGGAAGGTAGTCTACTCTGGGCCGACACCCTCTTCCCCAGCCCCAGGGGACCCCAGGAGCAGCGGGGACAGGGGTCAGAGTGCACGGGAAGCCAGCCGGGCAGGGGAGGAAGAGTCCTAAGGACAGGCGCTGCGGTGGGCTGGGAATTGCATCCCTCTTGGAGCTGTTCCCTTTACACACCCCACACAGCCTGCAGAAAGGAAAGTGCTACAGCTGGCTGAACCCGCTCCTGATACGGCCACCGTTTTTGCAACCCTGCGCCAGACAAAGACAGCGGGTGCAGGAGCCCCTTATGTGAGACCTGGCTGGGCCACCAGCTCGCTGTGTGATCTCCTGGGCGTCTGTGGGCTGTGGCTTCCTCAGCTGCAGTGCAGTCTTCATCAGATCTGCTCTGGCCACTGTCCCCCTGATATCACATATGTCCATAGCCTCACATAGGATGCAGACTGCCAAAGTCCCCCAGCTCCACGAAAAGGTGAATAGTTCAACAGCTAGGAAATCAAGGATCCTTTCCGTGTGTTAGCAGCTATCAAGAAAGGCCCCGCTTCGGTGATGACATGATGCAAATAAATAAATAAATAAATAAAAGATAAAAATAAAGAAAGAAAGGCCTGGGATTTTATACTCTACATGCTGTCCCCAAATGTCATGACTGACAGCCAAAGCTACTTCATTATGCAAATGTAGCCCCAAGGGCGGGGGGGGGGGGGTCACAGCCTCATCCTTCCCCATCTTGCCCCCAAAGATCCAAATCCCCGGAACCTGTGAATCTGTTACCATCCATAGCCAAGTCTGTGATTCCACTGAGTAACTTGAGATGGGAAGGAAAATGATTCTGGATTGCCTGGGCCCAAAGGAATCCTAAGGGATCTGACAAGCGGGAGGAGGGGGCTGTAATCCTAGCATTTGGGAGGCTGAGACAGGAGGATGCTTCTGAGCTCAAGGCCAACCTGGGCAATACACTGAGCGCAAGGCCAGCCTGAGCTACTCGGTGAGAGCCGGAAAGACTGGGACGCATTCTTCCCCACTCAGTCACTGGGAGGAACCAGCCAGCCACGACCTTGATGTTAGCCCCAAGAAACCAGTTAAGGCTTCTGAGCACTAGAACTTGTAAGATAATAAGTTTGTGGTTTTGTTTTTTTTTGAGACAGTGTCACTATGTAGTGCAGGCTGGCCTAGAACTTGTGTCAATCCTGCCTTAGCCTCCCAAATGCTGAGGTTATAGGCATTCACCACCACTATTAAGGGCCAAATATTTTCCCCTTTTCAGGACATGTGATTGTGTTACAGCATGAAAAACTACAATATATAAAGGGCCCACAATACGTAAATAAGAGGCTCTGCCCACGAGGTATAAATGAGAAACTCCACCCACCATATGTAAATGTGGGTTCCGCCCACAATCTGCAAATGATAGGCCTGGCTGTGTGCCAACACACCTTTTATGGACCCTGAAATCTGAAACCTCACATCATCTCTGTGGTGTGAGACAGTACCCCGAGTCATATAAAGACATAAACGCTATTTTCAGCGCCTGGGCTGTACAAAAGCGAGGACAGGCATGCGCTTGACCTTCGGGCTGCAGTCCTGACTCCTGAGACCGTGAGTCACCTGAGCTTGGAAGAGCGCCAGGCACAGTGTGCTGCAGAGCTGGCTGCTACCGCCCTCACCCGGGTGGGCACGGTGGCCCTGTCCTCTCTCGTGGCTGCTCAGCCCCTGGTGGCCCTCGGTGTCCAGCAGCTTTGGCCATGTCACATTCCTGTCCTGTCCACCCTGAGCAGACATCTTCCCGACCCTCCTCTTTCCCGCCAGCCCCTGGGCCCACGTGGCTGATGCCAGCCTGGCTAAGGGCGACTGGCGCTGCTCCTCTTGCTTCCCTAACTCCCCAGCCAGAACCCAGCCAAGGCCACTGCCACTGCCTCACCAGGACAGCCGCAGCTGGCTCCCTGTCCCATATTCTGCTGAGGAAGCAGCAAGCAGGTGCCTGTAAAAACAGACCACTCCCAGCTGCCCTGTAAATCCTGCTGTCTCCCACCGCACCCCTGGAGCAACCCAAGTCTGCACAGGGGCCCACATGGCCTGCGTGATGTGGCCCCGTTAACTCTCCTGCTTCCTGGCACCTGTGGGTCCCCCTCTGCATACACTACTCATCCCCCACATCTTCATGAAGCATCCAGATCTAGTTCAAAACATCACCTCCTCAGAGAGCAAAGCAGCTGCCCCTGCCCCATCTCTCTCTATCACATCCCCACCTCTGTTTTGTTTTACTTGTTACCAGCTGAAGTTATCTTGTGGGTTTTGTTCTTTCTCTTCCTCTTTTTTCCTTCATTCTTTATTTAGATTTTTTAGGACAGGATCCTCACTCTAGCCCAGGCTGGCCTTGAACTCATGGTCCTCCTGCCTCAGCCTCCCAAGTGCTGGGATTACAGATGTGTGCCACCGCACCTGGCCGACTTATTTCTCCCACCACTATGCTCTTCTGATCTATCAGTAGGTCCTGTGCAACATTTACTCCAAATCCTCCCTCTGTTCCAGGTGTTGCTCACCCCCATGGTGGTAGGGACCTCCTACCAGTCTCCTGGCTACTCCCCTCTCCCTGCTCAATCCATTCTCCCCACAGCAGCCAGAGATCCTTAAAAATATAAATCAGGTTTTGACACCCTGCTGCTCAAACCCTCCATGGTAAATCATTCTCACCTCCTAGCCTCAGCCCAGCCCCAAAGTCCTTTCTGATTGCTCCACCAACAATCTTCTCTCCAGTCACCCATCTCAGCCATTCTGGCCTCTTAGCTACTTTGGAAGCACACCAGGCTTGCTCCTGCCCCTGGGCCTTTGCACGTGCTGTTCCCTTTGTCGGGAATGTTCTTCTCAGACAGCTGTGTAAATGCCTTCCCGTCTCCATGCCAGGCTTCCTCACACAGGCCACCAGGGACCCCCACCCTGAATTAGCTGGGCACACCATCCCCCATCACTTCCCTTCATCTACTGTCTGTGGGAGGCTCAGCACGTTACCACCTGGCTGCTCATGTTCACTTCTTTTTTTGGCACCAGGAATCGAACTCAGGACCTTGCGCTTGCCAGGCAGGTACTTATGCCACTGAGCTATGTCCCCAGCCCAAAGGTGACTTGTTTTTTTTGGTACCGGGAATCAAACTCAGGACCTTGCGCTTGCCAGGCAGGCGTTAGTGCAGCTGAGCTACATCCCCAGCTGCCATTCATGTTCATTTCTTCTTTTTCTTCCAGGACCAAGGGTGGAACTCAGGCCTCACATATGCTAAGCAAGGCCTCTGCCACTGAGCTGCATCCCCAATCCTTTAAAATATTTGTTTGCTTTTATGATATTGGGGATTGAACCCAGTACCTTTACACTAAGCTACATGCCCAATCCTTGAGAAAATTTTTTATTTTGAGACAAGGTGTCCCTAAAGGGTGCCCAGGTGGTGCACCTGGCACCTCCTGCCTCAGCCTCCCAGAGTGCTGGGATTACACATGCGTACCACCACGCTGCCCACTCCTTTTTAATTTTTATGTTGGGCCAGGCTTTCACCAACTTATCCACGCTGGCCTCAAAATTGGAATCCTCCTGCCTCAGCCTTCCCAGTAGCTGGGATTTTGGTCAAATACCACCATACCCAGTTTCAATTTACTTTTTTATCTGCCTGCTGCAGAGACCGTGAGCTCCATGAGGCGAGGACTTGGTCTCTACTGTTTCCTGGTACATGGCAGGCTTCAACTCCATGCTTGGCCCTGAGCATCTCAAGAAGTGTAAGCCGATGGGATGAACGCCCTCCCCACCCACCACCCTTCCACCCCGGCTCCAGGTCACATACTCACATCCACCGTGGGGGTCCGGCCGACACCTGCAGCTGGAAACTGGGGAGTCCCTGTGGACGGGCTCCCAGATGCCGTCTCTGCCATCAGCAGCACGCAGAGCCAGCTCAGCAGCCCGGGCGGGTCCGGCCACGTGCCGGCCATCGGCCCCAGGCCCGGTCCTCACCTGCCTCCCCTGCCAGCTTTAGCTCAGGGATCCAGCAGCTGCAGGCAGGGCGAAGAGGCGGGAAGAGGAGGCGGCGTCACCACGGGGGAGGACCCGGCAGAAGGGCCCAGGCTGCCCTGTCCGCATCCCCAGCACAAGAAAGCCAAGCACAGAGCAGCAGCCCGAGGTGGGGGCAGCCAGGGGCTCCCTCCAGCAGCGTCCATCACCCTCCCTGGCCTTTTCCTCTTCCCCTGGGCCTGGGGAGAGGAATGTGGGAAGTGGCGGTGGCGGGTGGGGAAGCTCACTTTGGGGTGGGCTTGTCCTGTTTCACAGCCGGCAGAACAGCAGGTGAGCCTGGGGATTAAACCAAGGGTCTTCCCACTGAAGTAAATCCTCAGTCCTTGTCATTTTTTTAAATTTGAGACACGGGTCTTGATAAATCTTTAAATGGCCCAGGATGGGCTTGCGTTTGCAATTCTCCTGCCTCAGCCTCCTAGAGCACTGGGATTATAGGTGTGCACCACCACACCTGGCTCAGAGCAATGCTGTTGTTCATTTGTAATGAATGGAGCAGGTTGCAGGGATGACCTCCAGTAACCACACTGTACCCAGGCCCACAGGGGCACCAGTATTACCCCCACTTTACAAACGGGCATCCTGAGGCAGGGCAAGGTGAAGCCACTCCCAGACCCTCCCCCTGAGGCCTCACTGCCTCACTGAGGGGTTGGGGCTCAGAGGAGCTCTGCCAGTGACCCGAGACACACAGCAGGGAGGTCACATGGCCAGACATGGGCTCCAGAGGGAAATGAATTAATTGTTCAAGGCCACACAACGCTGGCAGCAGAAACAGCCTCTACCTCTTCCCTCGACATCAGGGGGAAAGGGCTTTATTTTTTCTTCAGAGAACTGGGAGAGGAGGCAAACACCTGTAATCCCAGCACTTGGGAGGCTGAGTCAGGAGGGGTGTAAATTTGCACCCAGCCTGAGATACATAGCAAAATCCTGTCTCAAAAATCCAAAAGAGGGGGGATTAAACTGGGAAAACACACTGGGCACGGTGGCGCACACCTGTAATCCCAGCACTGGGGAGGCTGAGGCAGGAGGGTAGTTGCAAGTTGGAGACCAGCCTGGGCTACAAAGTGAGCTCATGGCCGGCCTGAACTGCTCAGAGAGATCCTGTCTCAAAAAGACCAAAAAAAAGAAAAAATTTTTAAAAATTAAAAAAAGAAATAAACTGGGAAAACACAACTCTGGTAAATGCTTTGTGTGCTTTCCCACCTGTTCTGCAATCAGGAAAAACAAAGTTCGTGAAACAATGTTTTGGAGTATCTCTCTCTCTCTTGTAATTCTTTGCCCAAATGTTTCCCAGTGTCCTGGCAGCTGGAGGCGGGAGGGGCAGCAGGGACCGGAGGGCCCCTGCCCCGCATTGCTCCTCACTGTCCTTCCGGTCCGGACCTCAGCTCCACTCTGCACCTTGCCGCCTGAGAAGCACGCGGGCCTCAATCGCCTACGCCCTGTGCTGCCTCGGGAAGCTCAACCCACCTCTCTGGGTCTGACCCTCCTCTGCGAAATGGACACAGACTCTGGGGGTGCGGAACACACAGAGCTGCACCCCGCGGCCCCCCACTAGATCCCTGGTGGGCTTCTTGCCTCTACTGGCCGCCGATTTCTTTCTTTTTTGAGACCGGGTCTCACTACGTAGTTCAGGCTGGCCTTGAACTCACTACGTAACCCAGGTTAGCCTCGAACTTGTGGCAGTCCTCCTGCCTCAGCCTCCGGCGTGAGCACCACGCCCTGCGAGCCGCCCGGTTCTTTCATTCATCTCTGATAAGCATTCAGTGAGCGCCTTCTGCTTGCATGCCTGGCCTGGGCGAGCATTGGGAAGGGACGAAGGAACCCGGCTGCGCTTGGGAGCGAGGGCCGCGACCCGGGACGTCTTTGGCTCCGTCTGGACGCATGTTGAGAAGTTAAACTTGGGGTGCGGGGTGGGGTGCAGGGCGACTTCGCTTACCTCGGCCGCGCCTGGAGCCTCAAACGCCCAACCTCGGTCCCACCGGGCCTCGGGGCAGCCCGGTCCCCTCCAGTAGCCCGTCCCGCGCGACCTCGGCTCAGACAGATCGCCGACCCGGGCGCCGCGACCAAGGCGGCCCAATAGCGACAGTGCTGAGCCGGCGCTGCCGCCCCGCCTACGCCACGCCCCAAATGGGCGGGGCCACGGGCACGCCCCATAGAGGTCGCCCCGCCCCCACTCTTAAAGGTACAGGCTCTCGAGACGGGGAGGCGGCCCGGTCCCCATCCTCCATCTCGCCTGGGAGCCCAGCCTGTGGTTTCTGCTTTCACCACGAAAGCAGAAGCTGAGGTGAAAGCAGACGAAACTCAGTGGAGAAGACAACTGGAGGCTGAGAGGGGACAGTTACAGGGCAAATCCAGGAGACTGCCTGCCCGCTTCCAGAGGATGGGGTCGGGGAGAGGGTGTCAAACTTCCTCTGGGAGTGAATGTGTGAAGAAGAATCTCAGTGTCAGCACTTCAGGAGGCTGAGGCAGGAGCATGTCAAGTTCGAACCCAGCTTGAGCAACTGAACGGCAGAACACTGGGTTTCTCTGACTTTCGTCACGCCTGACCCCCCTCCCCCAGCACGGTTTCCTTCCTGTAACATGAGGATGGCAATGGCACCTGCCTCGTGGGGTCCGGGTCCTGTGTCTAAATCCTCAAGTCCCCCCTCCCGCCCCACGCTCAACACCGAGTTACACCGGCTCTCCCAGGACACCCCTTCCCCAGAAGCCCCCGCGGCCGCTCCCCTTAACCCCTGCCGTCACAGCAAGAGCCAGCCCTCCCAGTCCAGCGGCCAGTGTCCAGAGTGGGAGCGTCCTGCGCTGCTGGGGACAGCTGCCCTTGGTCATCTGCCTGGGAGGAAGTGCTGAACTGCTGAGACTGGAGCCCAAGTCCTCCGTCCCTCCTAGGGGTCTAACGCGGGGACGCGGGTGCTTGGACAGCAGCTAGCCTCACCTTGGCAGATCAGCTGGGCCTGCAGCTCCCAGGGGGGAGGGGGGCGGGGGTCCAGCGGGGGGGAGGGGCCGGAGTTGAGAGCAGAGAGGCTGAGGGAGGGGACGGGCCTGGGGACAGGGAGGGAGATCAAGGAGAGGAAGGCAGGCCTCATCTACCCCACCCTGATGGCCAGGGGTCTTGCTGTGTACCGAGCCATCCCTGGGGGTAGACACTGAACACAAAGCACTTTATGTATTAACTTACTGATTTTTTGTGGTACTGGCGATTGAGCCCAGGGCCTTTGCACTGAGCTACACCCGCAGCCCTTCTTAATTTTTATTTTGAGACAGCGTCTCCATGAGCTGCTAAATTGCCCAGGCTGGACTGGAACTCGAGATCCTCCTGCCACAGCCACCCAGAGTGCTGGGATCGCAGTTGTGAACCACCACACCCAGCTCCCTGTCCGCGCTTCTGAAGGTCATGAAAGGATCAGGGTGCTGGGTCTGGGCTTGAGTCAGAGGCCCCAGGACAGAGCACTGGGGGCTACTCCACACCGCCCCTCTGCAGGAGCTGATTGCTGGGCCCCTCTTGAGCCTCCTTAAATGGTGTGTCCTGGAACCAGGCCCCTGGGGGCCACTGGGGGCCAGAGAGCAGAAGGAAGCTCTACTGTCTCGTATGACTTAGCTGCGGAAGTGATACTGGGTCACACAGTGTCTCCTTACCCTGGTTACAGAGCCACTTGGATTCAAGGAGAGGAAATGCCCTACATCTCCAGGGTGACATATCTGTCACGTGCTAGGAGGAGAATGTGACACTCCAGACCTGGAGGTGATCATAATTGGCAAACAAGAACTGCCACCATGCCTTTGTCCACATAGGTGACACTTGGAGTGTCCAAGTGGCACAGTGAGCAGTGGAAGGGGATTGTATTTTAGAGGGCGGAGGGGAACGGACCCTCAGTTCCCTTCGGTAGACAGCTGCCTACAGGGTCGCATGTGGACTGACCTTGTCCTCAGCTCTTTTTTTTTGAGACAGGGTCTCATTATGTAATTCAGGCTGGGCTTGGTCTCACTATGTAGCTCAGGCTGGCCTTGAACTCAGGGTGATCCTCCTGCCTCAGCCTCCTGATTGCTGGGATTATAGACATGTGCCACCAGGCCCAGCTCTATAGTGAAGATTTACACATATGCTGCATATGCTCGTGACAATCCTATGGGTGAGGGTTAGAGTGATCCCCATTTCCCCAGGAAGGGAAACCACCTGTACTCAGGCCACCAGCTGGGAAGCGGCAGAGGCAGAGCTGTGCCTAGGAATGAGTGACCTTGGTTGAGTCCGCTTCCCTACTCGGGCTGGGCACCATGTGTCCCTGCAGGGGAGGCCAGGCTTGCCCCACATTCTGCACACCCCTGTTAGAGACCTGGGGTGGGGGCAGTAGTTCCTGACACATTGCTGGGACCCAAGAAGAGGGAACCTCAAGAGGGCAAAGAAGTAGACGTTTCAGTCTGAGGCTGGGGATGTGGAGGGGCCTGCTTGGGCCTCACTGTTTCATTGTCTGTTTGTTTGTCTGAGACAGGGTCTTACTATGCCGTTCAGGTTGGACTTGAACTCACTCTGTAGCCTCGGCTGGCCTTGAACTTGTGGCAATCCTCTTGCTTCAGCCTCCCAAGTGCTGGGATTATAGGCTTGCACAACCATGCCTAGCAGGCCTCACTGTTAACTAAAGTGAACCTTCCTGCTGATCCCTGCAGCTCTGGGCAAATAGTCCCATACCACCTACTTACAAGCCCCAAAGACGGGGCGCTCACTACTGTCATGGTGACCCCAGGAACAGCGAACAGTACCAGCTGTGCAAGAGGAGTCTTTTTGTTGTTGTTCTGGGGTTGCAATCCAGGGCTTTGCACATGTTTGGCAAATGCTTATCACTGAGCTACACCCAGCCTCTGTGAGGAGACTTTTAGACTGGTTTTGTTTTGTTTTGTCTCACTAAACAGGCTGGCCTTAAATTCACGATCCTCCTGCCTCAGCCTCCTGAGTGCTGGGATTCCAGGCCTGTATCATCACACACACAGTTTGGAATATTTTTATTGACACTCCTAGAGGGTGTCTGGAGGTGAATTGACAACTGGTCAGTGTCCACCTTTATTTTTTTTTCTTTTTCTTTCTTTTGTCTTTTTGAGACAGGGTCTCACCTGCAGTTCAGGTTGGCCTTGAGCTCGCTTTGTAGCCCAGGCTGGTCTCAAACTCACAATGATCCTCCTGCCTCAGCCTCTCGAATGCTGGAATTACAGGTGTGTATCACCATACCCGGTTTAATGTCCATTTTTAGAGATTTGAAAACACTTGAACCCTTTGCCCCACCTGAAGCTTTTGTGAAAATGAAACTGGCTGATGCTATAAGCACAAGAATGGTCTCTGGTGCAACCGTCACAATTCTGCAGTGAAGAGCAGGGCATGGTGGCACACACCTGTAATCCCAGCACTTGGGAGGCTAAGACAGGAGGATCGCCATGAGTTTGAGATCAGCCTGGGCCACATAGTGAGTTCAAGGCCAGCCTGAACTACATATCGAGACCCTGCGTCAAAAAATCCGAAACAAAAAACAAACAAAAAACCCAAACCCTAAAACAAAACAATTCTGCAGTAGTTGGAAGTAACCTACATGCTCAACATGGGGAAATTAGACTGAACTACTGCTCTGCAGCCAATGAACCCTCTACTTTAGGACTCCGAACCTACACAAAGTATAACAGTGACAGAGCAGGCAGTCAGGTGTGGTGGCACATGCCTATAATTCCAGTATTCATGAGGCTGAGGCAGGAAAATCATCATGAGTTCAAGGCCAGCCTGAACTACACAGCAAGGCCCTGTCTCAAAAATATAAAAGAAATAAAAAATTTTTAAAAGATTTAAAAAGTAAGGCAGGGCATGGTAGCACATGCCTATAATCCCAGCACTTGGGAGGCTGAGGCAGGAGAATCACTGCAAGTTTGAGGCCAGCCTGGGCTACAAAGTGAGCTCAAGGCCAGCCTGAACTGCATAGTGAGACCCTGTCTCAAAAAGACAAAA